CCCACTTTTATACCGATCAAGACTCACTTATATTTAACAAGTTTTCTCCACTCCGCACGTTTCTCTGAAGACTCTCTTTACTCTCAAGAAGGGAGAAGCTCGGAGGAGAGAAGAGCCTAGACACAATTTCGCTACCGCATTAGACGCAATTAATTCAAGAGCGGCGAAAGCAGCCGTCACTGTTATACGCGTTGATGAATGATAAAGTGGCAAAAAAGATCCAGCTCCCCTCCTGACACAATCGCTGGAATTTAATAATTAATTAATGTGCAGAGCGCTGCGAGCTCATCGGCCAAGTTAATCGCCGGCGTATAGGAGAGCACTCAACATACAGTGGGGCGATGTGATTAGGTGTGTGTGTAATTATCGCGCCTAGCTCTGCTATATACATACACATAGGTGATGACAATGCTCCGATATAAATTGCATTATAAACGAGAAACAGGCGCAGCTGAGCTCACATAATCCAATACGGCTAATCTCTCTCCATAAATACAACGTTAACTGACAGTTCGATGAGACCAAATTGAAAAAGTCGACGCCGTTATTGATCGATCAGAAATTCAGTTGGAAGATAAGGGCCTTCTGTATTGGTAAAAAATTAATTTAATTAGACATTAATTTATCAAATATCTTCATCATCTTCTATTTAGTCAGATCAATAATTTATGGTCAAAAATTTAATTCTTTCACAATTATTTAAAAAGTCTCACTAATATATAGATAAGAAGCAATCTATTTAATACTTGTTAATTTGAAAATACAAAATTTCTGCAATTTTCAAAAACTTTTGAAGATTTTGTTTTACTCTCTTTTAAATTTCTTTTCTTTTCTTTCATCTCTTAATTGTAATTTTCTGTTGTTTTTGGATAAATGAATTTTTGATAAACTTTTTTCCTGCGTTTTTTTTTGTACAAATCTGGCGAAAATGAAAACTTACAGGCTACTTTTGCTGATTAATTATTTTTTGGAAATACTGACATATTTTCTGATGTCATTAATTCCTGATCAATAAGGGGTTCCCCGGTAGTAAATGATAAACGATCCAAATTGATAAGTTAGGCGACGAAGCAAAAAAATATTGCAGCAACAGCAGCTCACGTCCGCTCTTTCCCTCTCACATGAATTAGCGCGGGATTTATGGTTGTTGTGTGTTATTAGATAAGCGCAGCCGTGGAGGAAAAACACGGGCGGCACAACGAGCACCCCGCTCGGGGCACATTCATCACCTTGGGTGCAGTTAGTTGCATGCACCGGGGGAGTTTCACTTGAAAGTTTGATTATAAATGGCACTCGCCCCGTTGTACATGTATGATGCATGCACTAGATACATTTTTTATTGCGCGCGTCGCTGCCCCTAAACAAGTTTCGCCGAGTGAGTGAAACTCTTTGCTTCTTTCCAACTCGGCGCGGCTTTTCTTTTCAAATTGCAATAAAAATAGTTAAGCCAAGTGGAAATAGAAACTTGCCTCGCGCACACCAGATCGCCGGAATAAGATGGTGCTTTTTTCTGATTGGATGAAGCCCCGAATATTGTCACACCAAACATACATTATTGCAGTATGGGGTATGAACATTGATTGAGAAAAAGGATTACAAAGACAGAGATGCTTAAGGCATTCTACTTGCCCAGTTTGGCCAAAAAATAAAATATAGAAAGCATTGAACAGTATAAAATTGTTCAGCACTCAAATAATAAATAATTTTTTTTTTACATTTTCATTAGGGTTGTTTTTATAATTATTTTCCTGTAGAACTCATTCTTTTCGGTACTAAAATTTTGTTGGCATACCAATAATTCTGATTCTAAATAATAGAATAACATACACGGCATAATAGGAATTTCCCACAGATAAATACATTATTAGAATTTCCATTTTCAGCTCAACATTATAAAAAATAATTTATTATTATGCTGATAATGAATAGAATTTTGAATAAAACGATTTGTTTACTTTAAAAATGGGCGCTATCATAAAAAAAAATTAGACAAAAATATTAATAACTCATCGTAACTTTTATCTTCCTTTTTGCAAGTTTAAGGATTCCTTATTGACATAGTCAAATCAAGTCTTTACAACAATGGTGATTAAAATTTCCAATTGTCTTTCAACAATCGCAAAAATCTGTTTACATTGTTGTAAGGACTTGATTTGACTAAGTCAATAAGAAGTCCTTAAATATATTAGCATGCAAAAATTAAACTTTTTATACATTTATTTATTCCTTTTTGTTTTAAATAAATTACTGTCCCTCAAACTTATCCGTTTAAAATTCAAGCCTTAAAAATCATCTTATGATAAAGTTTAAATCGGTCTCACGATAATTTTGTACAAGCTATAATAAAAACAGTAAAATAAAAAGAATCTTTACAACATAATTTACTTCATTTTTAATATTTTAAATTCAGTTTGAAAGCCCGCCATAATGTATTAGCAATCGACTAAAAACCTGATTGGTTCTCACTAAGATACCGTGCAAACTTGATAATTAGCCACAGCAGTCGATTTGAATTTTAATTGAGTTTTCTGTTTTATGGATTTTACTACACGCTCTATTTCCTGCAACGAGTTTTATCTCGTTGCTCGTATTCTCGGCGAGAAACAATTCAACAGGGCCGTTTAATTAAGACCATATTGCAGCAGATCCGGTCGCTCTGGCGCTGGAAGGTGGTATTTATCTTATAAAACGGGCATTGCGAGCGAGCGGGCCGCTTTAGAAAAGCGATAAAATCGCGACTGTTAATTTTCAAGACTATCTGCATGTTACCACAGCAGGACTACACAAGCACTTTAATCGAGCGCGCATTAGCGGCATTGCGGGCCACAATGCAGAAGCCGAGTCTCGCCTATTAGCTCTCCACGGCATCCCCTAGACGTGAATTAATTCGATAATGCACTCTCTCTATAGAACGTACGCGTTGAATTAATGAGCAATTCTAGCTCCGCTTCAGAAATGGCAGTGCTTCCCTCATCTGAAAACGGCAATTTGCCGGCTGACGAGAGCAACAGCTAGTAAAAGCAGACCTGCTCCTGCCTGCGTCCTAACAAATCGCAGTGCATTATTTGTGAAAAATCGCTGCAATAAATAAAAAATTCCCGGACCCTCAAGCTCGGCTCGCATCGTTATTAATCCACCAACCGCGAGATAATGCGGTGCATTAGCGTTTCAGGAAAGGAAAACTTTTCAAAAGCTTTTAACTGAGGTTTGGGAAAGTGTGTTTACTTTCTGTGGAAAAGCTTCATTTCTTGATATATTTATTTACAAGAATTAAACAATATGTAAATAAATTTTAACTGCGTTTTTCAATAAATTTCTTTTCTTAAAAAATGTTTATTTTCCAAACGTTAGAGAGGAATAAAGAACAAAATTATGATGGTTAATGTTCAATTAATTTTTGATTCAAGAATCATTAATTTCCAATTTTCGTCCTTTAAATTTATTAGAATGCTGACTCAAGGAGTGAATGTGAAAGATTTTAGATAAATTTGTCCTTTCTAAATATTATTTTATTATTTCTGATTATTTTTAAATAAAAATGAAGCATTGGATAGCTACAGTCGCATCTCATGAACTGAAAAAAAACGTGTCTAAATTGGAAAAAGAATATCCATTTCGTCAGTTTTTAATTTTTAATTCCCATTTTGCAGATATTCAAAAATTGTTTCTTTTATATAAAAAAAAAAAGGAGAATTATTTTGGTCCTGCTGCCGTTGCTGCCAATACAAGACTTTCATAAAGATTTTTCTGCAATTTTATTTTATTGACAAAAATTTCAATCCAACGAATGGCCTCATCTTGCGCCAGCTTATTTTTTGTTTCGTTTTTTATAATTTTGTGTGTCCCACTAACTAAATTTATAATATGTTTAAAGATATATATAATAAATTATTACTGATGGCATTGCTGTTTATTTGTACAATTATTACATCATAGTGTTATTAAATTTTCGAAAACAAAATTCAAACTGATAGAAATTTATATAATGCTACAGAAACGATCCAATAATGAAGTTATTAAATAATTATCTGATGATCAGAAGAATAAAAGTAGCGTATATACTTTCTATTTATTGCCTCTCCAAGATTTATTTTGACATGCAAATGTAAGAAGGAAAATTTGTGCAGGGAGACTCAAAAAGGCTAAATTGGAATGCAATTTTGTCCGCCGCAAGATGTAATTCGGCACACTGAGAATTTTCCGAAACACTATTCACTCTTGAGGGCCACGGGTACCTTTCCAGAACCTGGTAAGTTGGGCACCAAGCAAAAACGGGCACGCAGCCAATATTGGTCGCCGCCACCGCAAAGGCAATAGAATTTGCAGCCTTCACCTTGTTCAGTGCTTTAAAAATTAAAAATATTTTAAGTAGATAAAATTTCAAATAAAAATAAACCTGTGTCGGCATCAATAAAACATTTTAAGTCTTCCACAGAATTAAAATATGCAAGGGTCATGTTGAGTTGGCAGCAACTTATGATGGAGTCAGGAATTGCCTTTTTGGTGAAGCCGGCAATTACGAACTTACGACCACATGCATTCAGAAGATACTGAAAACCTAAGGGAGCTGCAAATTCTCTAATTTATTAAGTAAGTCACACAGCTTTGATTTTACTACATACTGGTGTTGTTTGCAATTTGCGCGACAGCAGCTTTCTTAATTAAAATAAAGTTTTTAAAATTAATGCATTCAAATGATAGAGGAAAAATACATCAAGTGAACAATTTTTGCCAAAAGCAATGTGTGCTGAGCAGTCGGGCAGAAGACAAGAAACTGGATTTTTGTACTAAAGGAGAATTCAAAAATTTGATAGTCAGTTTGATTAAAGAATATTTAAGATTCACACAGTTGCATCTGATGCGGCGTCTTTAACTATTCCAGCCACGATTTCCGGCTTTTGCTCGACTGAGCATTTGAAAAAGTGGGCTGTTGCGTCGCACCCCTTCAGTGAAGCTGCCTCCGAGTTTCCTTTGCAAGTGTCATAGGCTTCAAAACTCCCTTGTATATCATTGTCTGCGTTAATTACACTTTCTATCATCCGATAAAATTTTTCATCCACAAAAACTCCATTTGTACTGATCTTTAAAAAAAGAATGTGATTGTATAAAATCTTCTACAGATTATTTCAGAAATTTAAACAGACCAGCTTCAAACTCTCTCCCATACATTTAAAGTAGCACTGAAATTATAATTTTACCATCAATTAAAGATTTATTTCAAAAGATGCACACACCTTTAGGTTGACGGAGAAATTCAGGTTAATAAAAACACTGTCGATATCACCTGTTTTGTTAAATTATGTACATTTGAATTGATATTATTAATAATATAATTCATTCACCATCAGTCAAATTGAACATTTTCCTGCACTGCTCACTCTTTGATTTCGCCATTGACTGGCCATTTGTTTCCTCTGCCTAAAATAAAAATGATTAATTTCTATTATGCATAAATTGGTCTAGATTTGCCTCGCAAATGAATGAAATGGCAGAATTGCACGGAATCGCTTCAAAGTACGGTTCTTTGTTGGGGTCTAAAACGATGCTCAAGCAAGTGTCCGCTTTTTTCTGCGGAGGGTGTCCTTCGCCCCAATTAATTTGATTTGTGTTCACCAAATCTTCAGTGGAGCACCACGAGTAGTGCAAATCTTCCGGACAGTCCAAAAAGGCGCCGGACGTCCAGTGGGGTCGATAATTTCGTGGATTTTGTTTGAAAAAGCTTTTAATGCATTCTACATTTGAAGCCTTTTCGACACTGAAAAGTTTGAAGCCAATCGTTTCACATTGCTGCTTAGCCGCTTCCCACGTAAGAAGTTGCTGTTTACGTATTGAATTTCAATCATAAAAACCTCAATCATAAAAAAAAAAATCACTGTGTAATTGGTCAAAGTGTGGCTGATAACGTAAAACTTGCTGCAATTCTGAACCCACCTCCCATAGTTGTATGCGTCTGAAAGCAATAAAAATTATTTCTTTGAACAATGAAATTAACTGCAAAAGATTGCTAACGAGTGAGAGAGCCATTTTCTAAACCAAACAGGGAGGCCTAAATCGAAAAATAGTTATTAATGAGATAATTTTAATACATGATTATTTTACATTTTTCGCAAATTCAATAGGGCACGATTCTCGCTGACACGGTTTTGGAGTTACTGGTCCCTGCGAAGTTATTTTATTAGATTTTTTAACAAAATTTTTAAACTTTTACCCTGCAAGCCAATCTTAGTTTTTGGCTGCAGTTCGACAGCGAAAATTGGCCCGCAAACGAAGTCGTAATGTTGCTTGGCTTCCGTAAAACTTGAAAAGCAATGCAATCTTGATTACCGTAGAGTGTCTTATTATTCAGGCCTTGGATAGGAAACTGCGTCATATTTTTAACAAGAATTTCATCCGGACACCACATCGGGCCTTTGTCAGGGAAATCAATTTGCCCCCCAGCCGTCCAGTAGTAGTAGCCAAATCTCCAATCTTTTTATATTAAAGAAATTGTTTTGAGAGGGTGAAAAATTAAAAAACTTGAAACTTAATCAATGAGATTCTGATGGGACTTTGCTCAGCGATTAACACTTTCAGAAAATTATTTTTTACAAAAAAAGCTCCGGAGTTATTATTGGCGTCCAAGTTGTCTGAGAGACAGCAATTATTACCCTTGTAGAAAATTAAATTATATTTAACCGAGAAACTTTCAAAGCTAATAACTTAGTTAATTTTTAATCAAAAATAATTAAAAGAAAAAGTATTAATTATCAATTTTTATACAAGTTGCATCAGGATCTCATCGATTAAAAGCATTAAAACTTAAAATTTAAAGATGAAAAATAGAATCACTTTTAATAATAGTCTGGATGAAGCTTTCATATTCAGCAGAGCCGTTCAAAATCATCGGACTCATTCCTAAACTTGCACATTTTGTCCAACTTTCTTTCCAAGTAACCTGATAATATTTTAATTACATAAATTTTACCATGCGTTTTTCTTTGTAACCAACCAGCTCTCGCCCAAAAAGAAAAGTTGCAAACAACGTGTTCGCCCAGGAGCCGTAAGAACTGGAATCTTGATACACAAAAAGTGCAAAACTTGAATGACTAAAAAAATTATATTTTACCAATCAATTTGCCCTCCAAATTAAACAAGCTTCTCTGTGCCACAAAATAGAAAATAGCATTTAAAAATTATGATAATTTTGAATAATTACGTTTTTAGTTGTAGTCGTGTCCACTGCACAGGTAGTTTCAATGGCCTGAAATATTTTGAGCGATATATTTTAATTTTGATTATTTGCTTTGAGCACCAACTTCACAAATGAAGCTGAATTTGTCTGTGCAGCTCGACAGTTTCAGTCCACTTTTATTTTCCCCGCCAACGTTCATCTCAAAGACTGCGCACTTTTCAGAGTCGACTTGAGCAGGCGGACTTACGATCCAATTCAAATCAGCCCCGAATAGTGAAAACCACCCATTCCAAGACCAGCCACCAAAATTCGCATTCTGGATTCCAGCCGTCCAATAAGAAACCCCCGATTGTTTTAAAAAGTCTGATAATTTTTACGTAAAATATAATTGTAATTAAAATACATATTTTCAATGTAATTATACTATTTAAAGAAGATACGCAAGAGTGCGTATATGCAGATGTGACCGTCAGTAATTGCATCTTGTGTTCGCAACAAGTGGTGCGGGCGTCAACTAAGACTGCCTGTGATATTTTTTTTTATTAATAGCTCAATTTAATTCTCATTGTTACTGGTTTGCTGCTTATAAAATATTTTTTGCCGCAAGAGTTGATAAACCTTCCATCGGCGTAGTCTGAATATTTTATAATTATTATTTAAAAAATGAAAATTAATCAATAAAAATTATTTTTTAACCACCTAAGCCATATTGCATCTTATTGTACTTTTCAATCTAGTTAAAAAATTCAATTAAAAGTAACTGATTCAGCTGAATATAGGGTTCTTTTACTCATACCGTAACATTACAAGAAAATTTACTACTCGTTACTGTCGGCATTGAGGAAGAGGAGGATTCAATTGTAGCAATTGTAGATGACATATCTATAGTAGAACCTGATGAACATCGTTTAAAGACAAGATTAATTTTTATCAAAGAAAAAAATGATATCTGACAAATTCATTTCACTTGAAAATATACTCTGTCTTACTCCGTCTTTAAATTAAAAATATTACCTATGATGTTTGAAGTTTCTGCAGGAGCAAAAACTGTTTCTGTAGAAACAAAAACTGTTTCTGTAGAAGTGTCTAATACGCTAACACTATTTCCTCCGTCAGTTAATTCAGTCGAGGTATCGTAGGCAGTTTCAGTGACTCCATTCACATTGTTACTCATTGTATTCAAATAAGTCATTGTTGATGTTGTCAAGGTCGCTAGTGTTGAAATGTGAGTACATTTAAAAATAAAATTCAAATAGAGGATTACCAGAAGCAGATAATTGAATTTTCTTACTAGTGCCCAACTTAAAACGAAATTTACTTAGATTAAAATGTGATTCTTCATATTTTGATTTTCATACAGATTTTGCTCCTTGGGTAGAGTTTAACTTATTGACACTGCCTGATGTGCATGCATTTTTTCCACAGCATTTTATAATGTAGTTCCGACTTTTGGTATTCCGTCCTCCTTGAAACAAAAATACTCAATTAAAAAATGTTTATAAATTTTCAACCAGAAAAATAATACTAATATTTGAATTCTTCTTTTTGGCTGAATTAGCCAAGGCCTGTGAGAAAATTTAAAATTCTTAATGACTGGTTTAAAATATCAGTAAATTGCACAAACCATATAATTAATAGAAATGAGGAGTAGCACAATTCCAATTTTCATTTTTATATGACTAAATTTCACTCATCTGTTGAATCCAACATACAAGAGCTGCAGATATTGTGGGGCAGTGCGTTTGAAACGTCCCAAATTTTTGACAGGAAATTTGTCCGTTCAAAACAGGAAGCGTGACGTTTGTTATTTTTCGCAACATATGAAAACAAAAATGAATTCATTTGATGGGACCGGGTGGCGAAAAATAAAATGAAAATTGAGTGATATAAAATTTTGAAAAAATATTAAAATAGTAGGTCCCTAATTTTTAGTGAATTAAGAAATAAACATTTTGCCACATTCTGAAGATATTGTCATGTTTATGAGATTTTTTACTTTCTAATACAATTAGATAATCTTCTACTTTATTCCAAATGAATGGTATATGAATTTTAGACGCATTCCACATTTTCGGTGAAAATTTAAGACTTTTTCCCGATCTCTGCAAATTTGAGGCTTGCAAGCTTTTCGCCGAGCCAGGTCACGCCGCGCGCTGTCTCATTAAAAACACTGTGTGTGCGCGCAAATGATGAAAAAGCTGTGGGCCGTAATGCTGCTCAGCGCGTGTGTCGCACGTCATGTGGAACATGCAAATTTTTCAGGCCGCCCTTTTGACAATGCGGCAAAATCTTGTGCCCTGCTAAACCGACGCTCGGCCCAATTATATTTTGCCAAATTGTGTGTGTTTCCGACTCGCGGATTTATTTATCTACGAATGAGAGAGCGCAAAGAGAGAGTTTGTTTTGCGTCAGATGGATTCGGGTGTGCGCAAACTTCTCCACATCCAGCGCTGTGTTTGTTATCCCGGAAGCAAAAAGAGTTTTGCTGAACAAAGAGAGCTAGAAAAACAGTATTTTTAACCCCTTTTTGGACCAAGTACTTGTTTTCATTTTGTTGAAAAACGTGAAATTAGTTTCAAATGGCAACATTGTTATTGAAAAGAAAAAAGGTATTTATTCGTCACAAAATAAATTGAAACTGAATACTGCTTTTTCTCTAAAAATCTTGTACTTTGTAGAATTAAATTACATATTTGAATTCCATTAAAAAAAATGGGATATAAAATTTAATAAAGGGAAAAGTGATTATTCAAATTATGTGGTAAGAAAAAAAGATCCAAAAAGATAAATTATTTAAGTAAATAAAAATAAATTTGATAATTTAAAAAAAAAATCATTATTATTGTATTAAAATTCGAGGTCCACAACGCTGGTGATACTTTTTATAGGGGTTTATAGTTTTAAAAATCAAATTGGCAAATAAAATGAAATATTAATTTCATGCCAAGAGCACGTTTTTAAAAAAATTACTCGCTGAAAAGTATTTTCGAAGGGCAAACCAATTTAAAAAATTAACCATATATAAACAGCAAAATCCAATCACAGCCCAACACCAGCAACACCTGATGAAACTTTAATTGAACCAATTTATGCACCGCATAACCGAATGTTTGCATTTAATTCCATACGTGGCCCGCCGGTGTATGCTCTTTAGGGAGATATGTAAAATATAACTGGCTGCCCCTAGAATAACACATTACGGACAGGGTATACGCGCGCCCTAATAAGTTTTGGCAACAAACGGTCCTCTGTGTTTTCCGCATGCACCCCGTCATCAAACGCAATTTCATGCATGCGAAATCCCACCGGCCGTGTCACACCATCATATTTGCGTTAAATTGAAAGCGGAAAAATATCAAGTTCGAGAGAGAAAAGCACAGTTTAATCACAGTAGCTGCTGAATAATTAATGAAAATTCGCTTCATATTTTGCGGTTATTTCCACTGTGGTAAGCATTGCAGTTCCGGTGCAGCTTTTGCTCTGGTAATTTATATTAACTATTATGCACTCATTGTTAAAAACAATTAATGTTAATTTAGATCATTTTCCACAGACTTTTAATTACAATAGGGCTTACAAATGTAATTTTATTAATGCAGGTCACGAATAAATAAAAATGTCAACACAATAGTTTTAAAAGTTAAAAGGCTTAATTAACTTGAGGGAAAAAAATTTGTGTTTTGAGGTAAAAGTTTTGAAATAATCAAGAAATTTAGAATAACTTCTCTAAATAGACTAAAAATGTATTTTTATCTCCAATGAAAAAAGTTAGTTTTTGTCTGATGAATTTTTAATCAGAAAAACACAATTTCCTTGCATATCCACTTTCATATTAACTTTAAGGTGAAGTATACAAATCAGAGTTTTTACCACTCTATAGACCTTAATAATATTTTATTAAAATTTAAATAAATTCCCGTAAGAATTTTAAAATTTTGCAAAATCCCTAGTTATAGCTGAGCTACTCTTTGAAAACTGTGAAATTTTCTCTCCTGATAAGTTTGTCTGACGTAACATTATGTACATTATCGCAATGCGAAACGCGTGCTCCCTCGAGAGTTCATATATCTCACTCTCATGCCGGCTTTATGCAGAGTAAGCTTCCCAAACTAGCTCGAACCGTCATTCTCAAGAGAAAGATTTTCTTCCGGCCAAAATAGATAAGAACGGATCGACCGAGCGAAATTTGATGCTTACCTCAAACTAACGCCGAGGCAGATATAAAAAAAAGCTTTTGCGCCATATTACCACTGCCATTCTACGAGTCGGCCAAGTCTTCTGGCAAACGACCAGATTCTTTAAAAATGCAAGGTCGTGGAAAGCGAGTTTTTTATGTCACTTTTCACGTTCGGCTCTACAGAATGAACGGAGACAGAAAAAGAGAGCACATGAACTTCAAATTGAAAGAAATTGGAAACTTCCATGTCATTAGCCATTTGCCTTATTTGATAGTTTCACCGTTCACTATCGAATAACTGGGGCGGCGATATAAATAAGGAGGTCAACTTTTTGCTGATAGGACACTAAAAATATAAAATGTACTTAAAGTATTGGCAGCATTTCAAAAATTTAAAAAAGGGAGTACAAATATTAAAACATCATGAACAAACTTTACAGTCATTAGGATTGATTAGGATCTAATAAAATCGTTCGTTTAATTATTTTAAATTAAATTATCCACAAATATTTTGTGTGAAAGAGTATTAATTTTTTTTGGAAAAAAGCATCTCCACCATTAGCAAGATTTTTGCTGAACCTCCTAGATAAAAAAGATCCCACTTGCCGCAGTGAGCCTATTAATGTTTTATTTTCTGAAAATATCATTGAAAAAAATATTGTTTTTCTTCTTTATTCAAATAATGATTAATTTAATCAATTTAAAAATTTTTTTATTATAATTAAGTTTTTAAATTTTTTTAATGTCATGATTTTTAGCAATTTGAAATTTTAATTAACTCATAAATTAAAAAGCGCCTGTAATATTATAGAGTAGGCACTACGCCTTTCATACGAGTCGAGCGAGTTGCATAACACCCTATTATTATGCTGGCGGCAACGGAGCAAAAAAATCGGCGCCACTTTCGCACGTACTATCAAAGATCGTGTTTTGTTTGTTGATGAACACGGCGTCCTCCATGTGTATTGGGAATTTATCATAAAATTTCTAAATTTCGAGTTGTTTTTAGGACAATTGTACGCCAATCGGACGAATTTACGCTCTAGACCGTTGCTTAATTAAGTTAATCGTCGAAGGTGAGCACAAGTTTCAGCAAAATCTCAAAATTTGTAATCAAATTTAAATTAACAAAACTTTTACACGGGTTGCCGGCTTTTTGTTTATTTGTTCGCAAATTTACTAATTTGTCAGAATGTTTCAGATTTCATTACAAAACTGGTAAGCACTTTAATTTCCTTTCAGGTGTGCCCACTTTCAACCCATACAATGGCCACGAATTCGAGCTGACGGTAAAGTTCTCCAAGCCGGCTTCCGGGGGGACAACTTTCAATTTCAAGATTTTATTTATTTTTTAATTTACTTCATGTATATTAAGGTGCCCGTACTTATAAGCGTGTTTGATTTTTTAAGGTGATCTGAACAGACGCCAAGATGTATCTGTACAACCTCACCCTGCAGAGGTCCTCTGCAATCACCCATGCCGTTCACGGGAACTTCAGCGGCACCAAAAGCCAAGAGATCATGGTCTCGAGAGGAAAGTCCTTGGAACTTTTGCGCCCTGATCCCAACACAGGCAAAGTTCACACTCTCATGTCCATGGAGGTGTTTGGCATCATCAGATCTCTAATGGCTTTCCGTCTGACTGGAGGAACCAAAGGTATGCAAATTAAAAAAAAAATTAATTAATTAATTAATTTTCATTCTTCAGACTACATTGTTGTTGGCTCTGATTCCGGTCGCATTGTCATCTTGGAGTACAACCCTGCCAAGAATGCCCTTGAAAAGGTGCACCAGGAGACCTACGGAAAGAGCGGCTGCCGCAGAATTGTCCCTGGACAATATTTGGCTGTTGACCCCAAGGGCCGTGCAGTCATGATTGGAGCCATCGAGAAACAAAAGTTGGTGTACATTTTGAACAGAGACGCGCAAGCCCATCTGACCATTTCCTCCCCTCTCGAGGCACACAAGAGCAACACCTTCGTTTATCACATTGTCGGAGTTGACGTTGGTTTCGAAAACCCTATGTTCGCTTGTCTTGAAATCGATTATGAGGTTTGTTGAAAAGAGATATTTTCTGCTGCCAAAGTTGATTTTGTTAAATTTCAGGAGGCGGATAGTGATCCTTCTGGTGAGGCTGCCCAGAAAACCCAGCAAACTCTGACTTTCTACGAGTTGGATCTGGGTTTGAACCACGTTGTTCGCAAGTACAGTGAACCTCTGGAGGAGCATGCCAACTTTCTTATCACCGTGCCTGGTGGAAATGATGGGCCCAGTGGAGTGTTGATTTGCTCAGAAAACTACTTGACCTACAAAAACTTTGGTGATCAGCATGACATCAGATGCCCTATTCCCCGCAGGAGGGTAATTTCTTTTAAAAATCACTATTGAAATTTATTTTGAAGTTGTTTTTTGTCGTTTCAGAATGACTTGGATGATCCTGAGAGAGGGATGATTTTTGTCTGTTCTGCCACACACAAGACAAAGACCATGTTCTTCTTCCTCGCACAAACTGAGCAGGGAGATATTTTCAAGATCACTCTTGAGACGGACGAAGATGTGGTGACTGAAATCAAACTCAAGTACTTTGACACAGTCCCAGTTGCCTCAGCCATGTGTGTTCTGAAAACTGGTTTCCTCTTTGTTGCCTCTGAATTTGGCAACCAGTAAGTTTTCACAATTAAAAAAATAACTAAATTAATTTGCAATTTTGCAGCTACTTGTATCAAATTGCCCACCTCGGAGACGATGATGACGAGCCAGAATTTAGCTCTGCCATGCCCTTGGAAGAGGGTGACACTTTCTTCTTTGCTCCCAGAGCGCTTCGAAACTTGGTCCTGGTTGATGAATTGGAGGCCCTCTCGCCTATCCTGGCATGCCAAGTTGCTGATTTAGGTATTTTTTTAATTTTAGCTATTGAATCGTTAGAAAGTTTTAAATGTTTAGCCAATGAGGACACATCTCAGCTATACATGCTGTGCGGCCGAGGACCAAGGTCCTCTTTGAGAGTGTTGAGACACGGCTTGGAAGTGTCTGAGATGGCTGTGTCTGAGCTTCCTGGCAATCCTAATGCTGTGTGGACCGTTAAAAAGAGATTTGATGGTAATGAATTCAGATTTTAAGTTCACAAGAAACTTATTTAACTCTGCAGAGGAATTTGATGCCTACATCATTGTGTCCTTCGTAAACGCCACTCTTGTTTTGAGTATTGGAGAAACTGTCGAGGAAGTTACAGATTCTGGATTCTTAGGAACTACTCCAACCCTATCATGCTCTGCCCTGGGAGACGAAGCTCTTGTGCAGGTAAAATATTTCACATTTTTTAATTTAATTTGGTTTTACACAACTTTCAATAGGTTTATCCTGATGGAATTCGTCACATTCGAGCAGACAAGCGTGTCAATGAGTGGAAGGCACCAGGAAAAAGAACAATCGTCAAGTGCGCTGTAAACCAACGCCAAGTTGTGATTGCACTGACTGGAGGAGAAATTGTCTACTTTGAGATGGATGCTGTGAGTTTTTTTTCACACATATCAATCATTTTTTTCTTACTCCTCTTTTTAGACTGGTCAACTGAACGAGTACACGGAGAGAAAGGAAATGCCCTCGGACATTGTCTGCATGGCGTTGGCCTCAGTTCCATCAGGAGAGCTTCGTTCTCGGTTCTTGGCCGTTGGTCTATCTGACAACACTGTTCGCATCATTTCTCTCGACCCTTCGGACTGTCTTTCGCCTCTCAGCATGCAGGCCCTTCCTGCCTCTGCCGAGTCATTGTGCATTGTCGAGATGGGCGGCCAAGAAGCCAACGAAGAAGGAAACATCACTTCTGCATCCAGGATGTTCCTCAATATCGGTCTGCACAACGGAGTTCTGCTTAGAACTGTCCTGGACTACGCCACCGGAGACTTGGCTGACACCAGGACTCGATATCTGGGCTCGAGGCCTGTGAAACTTTTTAGAGTCAAGATGCAAGGAAATGAAGCAGTATTGGCCATCTCGAGCCGCACTTGGCTTAGCTACCACTACCAGAACAGGTTCCACCTGACACCATTGTCATACGAAATGCTGGAGTATGCCTCTGGATTCTCTTCAGAACAGTGTCCAGAGGGTATCGTTGCAATTTCAACCAACACCTTGAGGATTTTGGCGCTGGAGAAACTGGGTGCTATTTTCAATCAGGTATTATTCCATTTAAAAATTCACATTCTTATTTTTTTACTCTTCTTTTGAATTTTAGATTTCATTCCCTCTGGAGTACACTCCGCGTCGCTTTGTCATCCACCCCGAAACCAACAACTTGGTGATCATCGAGACTGATCACAATGCGTACACCGAGGACACCAAGAAGCAGCGGCGCATCCAGATGGCCCAAGAAATGCAAGAGGCGGCTGGTGAGGAGGAACAGGAGCTGGCGAAAGAAATGGCCGAAGCGTTCCTCAATGAGGATTTGCCTGAGAGCACCTTCGGAGCCCCGAAAGCTGGTCCAGGCATGTGGGCCTCTGCCCTTCGAATCATGGATGCTGTTCAAGGAACGACACACCAGATGCTCAGACTTGAGCAGAACGAGGCAGCCATGTGGTAAGTTGTGTTGAAAATAATTGCAATCGATTTCCATTAAAATAATATGACTCCAGTATTGCAATGATGAGATTCGCCAACCAGTCAGACGGCTCCCAGTACGTCATTGTCGGCATTGCTAAGGACTACCAGCTGAACCCAAAAATTGTGGGTGGCGGATACTTGTACTCTTACAAGTAAGAAATCTTAGAATCACATCAGTGACTTTTTAACTAACTTCATTTTCAGGGTTAATTTGGAGTGCACAGAGTTGACTTTAATGCACAAAACTCCAGTTGAAGATATCCCGTATGCACTTTGCTCATTCCAAGGCCGTGTTTTGGTGGGCATAGGCAAAATGCTTCGTCTCTACGATCTGGGAAAGAAAAAGTTGTTGCGCAAGTGCGAGAACAAAGTAAGCCGTCAAGAGAAATTGTCAGACAAAATTGTTCTAACATTAACTTTCAGCATATTCCCAACATGATCGTCAACATTCAAACCATTGGCCACAGAATTTATGTGAGTGATGTCCAAGAAAGTGTCTACAGTGTGAGGTACAAGAGAATGGAGAACCAGTTGATTATCTTTGCTGATGACACTTATCCTCGATGGGTCACTTGCACGGCAGTTCTGGATTATGACACTGTGGCCATTGCAGACAAGTTTGGCAACATTGCTGTGGTAAGAAGTTATTTTTTTTAATACTTCAGTTTGCAATACAAATTTGTTCCATTTTGGAAGCTTGAATTTTCATAAATTTAAAAAAGGAAAGAATGACACAATTAATCAAATTATTATAATCGTAGATTATATGCCTTTCTTTTCTCTCTTTTTTTTCTTAATTTGTAACAGTTTTTATTTTTTAAATAAAAATAATTTTTATACAATTTAGACGAGACTGGCGCCAAGCGTTTCTGATGAAGTTGAAGATGACCCGACTGGAAACAAAGCATTATGGGACAGAGGTCTTCTTTCAGGAGCTTCCCAGAAATCGGATGTTGTGTGCAACTTCCACATTGGCGAATGTATCACTTCGTTACAGGTAATGTTTGTTAATTTTTTGCAAGATAAAATGATCAACTTTGATTATTTACAGAAAACGACACTGATTCCTGGAGGCTCCGAAGCCTTGATGTATGCCACACTCTCTGGCACAATCGGAGTCTTGGTCCCCTTCACCTCACACGAAGACCACGATTTCTTCCAGCATCTGGAGATGCACATGCGCTCCGAGTACCCTCCAATTTGTGGTCGTGACCACTTGTCATACAGGTCGTACTACTTCCCAGTCAAGGTTAGTTGAGCATACAAAGTTTATTGTCGGGTGACTTTAAAATTGATTAATTTCAGAATGTCATTGACGGCGATCTTTGTGAACAATTCAACTCAATAGACTTGTCCAAGCAGAAGCAGATTGCAGAAGAACTGGACCGAATGTCAAGTGAAGTGTCCAAAAAGCTGGAAGACATTCGCACCCGATACGCTTTTTAAAATCACTTGTAAATTTTTTTGGCATGTATATTTTATTATCATTTTTAGTGTTAGATTGAAACCTGAACTTGTTCAACTCAATGTTTACTGCATTTTTATGGCGTAAAATAAAATGATTGTGAGTTGACTTCTAATTAACTAAAAAAAAGACCTGCTACTTTGTGTCATTTTTTTACAAGCACATTAATTTATTCAGTTAATGAATGAAATTTGCAGTGTAACTAAAAAAAAGCATTAAAATCTTACAATTAGAATTTTTCAAGGAAAGAAAATTTAAATATGAAAGCAAAATTATAAAATTGACCAGACGCATTTTTTGAAAATTTTCCAGCTTGATATGTTACTTGAATATGCGCGCCATTCCATACACAGATTAAACGATTTGATTGGCTGCTGACGTTAGTGGGGAACAAATGAACGCTGATGGCGTCGCCGTCAACAAGTTCATTCTAGGGATAGTAGAGCTCTGGGATACGAATAAGGGCGGGGCTTAGGTACCAGCTCCCATTTGATTACATTGTACCAGTTTAACATTGCGGGTATGGGGGGGCTCCGCCTTTCTTCGTATCCCATGGTTCTACAATCCCTAGTTCATTCAAAACAGGTCAACGTGAGTCTAGTTTTCAGAGGAGTTTATTCCCGGAATTTGCCTCAATTCCGGTTCGATGGAACTGTCCCCTAGGCGTTCCCAGTGCAAGAAGCCCAGGAAGAGCGAGGTGGCCTTGTCCGAGGTCACGGCCGCGCTCAAGAACGCGGCCATCAACAATAACAACAACAGTCCTCCGCCGAGCAGAGCCGTCCGCAGCATCAGCATGCCAGCTCTTGGAGAGCAGAACAAGGTCTTTTCCGAGATCTGCATCGACTTCCCGGACGTCTTGTCCAACGTCACGTGCTCTGAACTTATCATTGAACTCATCAAATACATTTTATTTATGAAAGAACAAATTCCGTACCAGTACAACCAGCTCAAATATGTGGTGGATAGAAAGAAAAAGTGGGACATAGAAAAGGTGATTTTGATTAAATTTAAATTAAGTTTAAAGGCATTTTATAACATGTAAGTTTTTTTCTCTTTATAGGGCAAAGGTGGACCTGCTGCAAAGGTAGCTAGACCATCAGCGATTTTGGCTGAGAAACATTACAGAAAAGCCTGCTGTGCCATTGAGAGTTTGGAAAAGACTTTTGAGGTAATTTTATTATTTAATAAAATTTACAGATTGTAAATTTATTTTTCATAATTTTAGAGCATTCGCCAAGATGTGCAAACGGCGGACAGTTTTGCCATCGTCATTGGGGCCACTGTCGCAACTCCACAAGAACTCTACATAGTTGAATTGCCTGCAATGGTGCAAGTTCCACAAGGGTCCCCTCCTTCGAGAATTTGTCTCACTCGTTTGCTCAGGTATGTAATTTTGAAAGAAATTCTTAACCTCCAAATTGTTTGAAACCTGACGTTTTTATTCTATTTTCCAGGGAAATGATAGCCTCGGAAGGGATGCAGAAACTGATTGGCAAGCCTTTCCATCCGACAAACACATTCCTCCTTTTGCACAAGACTGGATCAAGTGAAAACTCATGCTTTGACCCCAAGCCCAACTTCACCCTTCCCAAACGAACTCAGCGTGTTGTCATGAAATTCAACCAGCCTCCGTCAATTGAAGACCCGAACAATTTCAAGGTGTTCAGTGACATGGGGGTTGAGAGCATGGAGTGTGACGTGGAAAAGGGAAAAGGCATTTGGTACCAAGCCAAGTCTTTAGTGGCAGGCTTCAAAGACTGCTGGATTGGTGACGAGTGTGCCACTGAGGTTTGGCTCAAAGTTTGAGTCGGAACTTGAAAAATACATAAATTCTGTTTGCCGTGCCAATACCGGCTCAAAGCCATTTCATTAACCAAATGTTCAAAGACATGGAGACGGAGCGAAAATTGTTAAAATGATAATAGTCTTCTTTACAAATCAACGAAGCAATGTGATTATACACGAGTACTATAAATCTTGCATTTATCACAATGTAAGAGTAAGACAAATCAATTAATTAATTCAATTATTATCATTCACTGCGCATTTATAAAAATGAAACAGCTGAGGTTTATAGTAATTATAAATGAAAAGAGTCAAGAACTATATCAACTGCGGCGGATCTCAGTTCCATCAATTTACTTAAAGGATTTAAAAATTCCGTTTTAATTTTTGTGATGCAGCACTACTTGTGCATTATCTAAATGTACGTTATAATCATAATAGGAGATAATAAATAACAAGGATGGTCACAGTATCGAATAAATTTTGTATAGTAAATAATAATTATGCTCGTGGTGTTTAATTTTTATAGCCCCTCTAAAAAAGTTGCCATGACAACGGGGCGCATGTGAGCCTGATACATCCCACGCCCTCCTTAGCCTCCCACATTCCAGCTGCAGCGCTAAACAAAAGCATGCGTTTTAAATTGCAAATTTGAATTTCATGTTTTTCTGTCTAGCCAGGGTGAATTTCTCGCCATTGCTCCTCCTTATTTAAAGTCCTGGCCTACAGAAGGCTTACAAATTTAGTTTTTTATCAGTTGGCAAACAGCACTTCTTTATCTTTTTCAACCTCCTCCGTCTCATATTGCTTGGCTTCACCTCATTACAACTACAGCAGACCAAAACAAACCATAAATTCAAAAGAGATGAGTGAAAATAAGGTAACCAAGTATTTTCCTATGAATCGCAGCTTTAGTTATGACCAATTTTAGAACAAAGCGTTGGTGTTGGTGCCGCCGTTGGTGGTTGTCGACACTGACCCGGGCACGGACGATGCCCTGGCCCTGTACATGCTCCTGGCTGCTGACAAGAGAAAAATGATCAAACTGGTTGCAGTGACTTGTGTCGACGGAAACACAAGTGTTCACCATGGAACCAGAAATGCACTCAGAGTCCTTCAATCGGTCGACCGACTAGATGTAAAATTTTAATTAAAAGCGATATTCATAGTTTATAATTATTTGTATTTGTAAAAGGTTCCAGTTTTCAAAGGCGCTGTCGAACCACTTATCGTGGAACCAGTGCCCAAAGATGAAAGTCGTGTGTCCCACGCTGGCTACCACGGAGAGGATGGATTTGGTGGTGCCAAGTTTGACAAAGAGCCAGACTTGGGACTGATCCAAAATAAAACTGCTGTTGCTGGGTTGACTGACTTGGCCAGACAATACAAGGGTAATAAAATAATTGTTCTGGTTCATATTGTTTTTTATTACTAAAAAATTTCTTTCCGAAAGGGCGCCTCAGCCTAGTGTGTGTAGGACCACTGACAAATGTTGCCCTTGCGATCAAAAGTGACCCAGAATTTGCAGGAAATATCAAAGACATTTTTGTAATGGGTGGAAATATGTCTGGTAATTATTATTATTATTTTTTTTTAATTAATTTAGAATGATAATTGAAATTTTCTTCTTAGGTGTTGGCAATGTTACCTCATGTGCAGAGTTTAACTTTTTCCACGATCCTGAAGCTGCACACATTGTTCTGGCCAACGCTCAAAGTCACATTACTCTTGTGCCATGGGAGCCTACCAAGGCTCAAGGAATGTCATACGTAAGCCCTCACCCTCACTTAAATGTGGAGTGTATTATTTTGAGCAATAATTTTTCTTTTCTGTAGGAATGGAGGGAAAAAGTTTTTGGAAAGGCCAATACAAAGCAGATCGAGCTGCTCAACAAAATCGAGCAGACTGTAAATGAAAAGAGCAAGAATCCCTCTTGGATTCCGTGTGATTCATTCATCACAGCTGCTTTCATTGACCCGTCCATTATCACAAAGCTTGAAACGTAGAAATTTTCTTTCATTAATTTATTATTGTCTAATTATTGTTTCATTGCTTAACAGATACCATCTCACTGTTGAGCTGCACGGCGTGCGCACTAGGGGTCAAGTGGTCATTGATCATTTGCGCAAATGTGATGACAATGTGAAACTAATCAAAGAGGTAGATCTGGAAAAGTTCAAGCAACTGATGTACATGGCCGTTGACCACCCCAACTGTGTTTTGTAAAAGAAATCAACAGGCAAGTTTCGTCAAATTATTTTTAGGCTTCTCTGAAGGAATATTTTTTGGTAAAAATTGAAACCAAAAATAAAACTGCATATTTGTATAAAATTTAAAAATAAATATTTGGTTTATTTTGCTAATTATTAATAATAATATCAGAGTTGTCAGCAATCCACTGCAAATAGCAGGTGAGGCGCACATAAACTTGAGGCGCTGCATTTTCGCAGGCAAAAGGGTGACCGAAGCTGCTCACTCCTTGCACTTGCCATTCCAAAGAGTCGTTTTCAAAAGCCAGAGCTCCTCCCGTGTCACCCTGATTCATTAATTTATTTTACTTATTTAAATAAATGACAATAATTAACATACACTGCAAAATCCTTTTGTTCCCACGTCAGAGCTGACGCAGATGTGGCACTCGGTCACAAGTTCTTCGTTAAAAGTTATCTGGCATTCTTGGATGGGAACAACCAACAAATCCACATATCGCAGGGATTCGCTCAAATATGGAATGGCTTTTTGAAAAAAATAGTACAAAATTTAAAATATTTAATAATTAATTTACTATCGTCAATGGTTCCCCATCCAGACAATCTTCCGATTTTTCCTTCAAGCGTGGAGTTTGCCTGTGACCAGGTCGGCAAGAGAATTGGGACAATATCTGTGAAATTATTTTTAGGATTTTCTTAAAAAAAAAATCTTTGTGTATATACTTGGCTGTGATACAGGAGCTGTGAGCCTTAAGAGCGCTATATCGTTTTTGCTTCCGACAATGTCAAAATTTTCATGCACAATTTTGTCAAACGTGACGTCAACAAAAAGCCCAGGCTCGTTTAAATTTGTGCGCTCATTATTTCCCAGATGAATCTCAAATCTGTTAGCGCTGAAAATGATTAAATTTAATTTATAAAAGTTTTTTAATTTCAAAAAAAAATCCAAACTTGTGAATGCAGTGAGCTGCGGTCAAAACATATTGAGGAGAAATCAAAGAGCCGCCGCAAAATCTTGTTTCATCAATAAATACGCCCGCTTGATATGGAAACTGTCCTGATAGTGCCACAGTTCCTCCAATTATTCTTTCATTTATGGAAAACGCCTAAAAAAAATATTAGTTTTCCCAATTTTTGACGAAAATTCTTACTTTTATGTCAGCTGCCAGAAGAACACAAAGTGTCACCAAAAATTTAATGCAGACCATCGTAATCGCTCACTGACTTTGAATAATATCAAAACACCGTCTTTCTTTATATATGAAAATGTGCCCTTCTTGTGGAATGGGAAAACGCACACGGTTATTCCGTATCACTTTTTCTTATCGTCTAATTAACTTTACCTATCAATCTCTGCATTTATATGATTATGTAACTACACCATTTAAAACGCAAAAAGTCAAATTAAAATTGATATTCAATTTATTCTCTAATAATGACACCGCCGTTGACTTCGAGCCAGTCGAGGTGTCCACTGAGACGGGCGAAACCCTGAGGGCCAACTCCTTCACAGCCGTCGTCAGCGACATAGTTAGCGATTCCAATCACAGTGTCTAGACCGTCGCTATCGACAATGACCAACGGGCCGCCAGCGTCGGACTAAATTATTGAATCATTTTTTTTTTTTAATTATTCAGATTGGCCAATTTAATTGTTTTTTTATACGTTGCAAGTGCCGGCCGTGCCAAAGCTGGTGTCGATGCAAATTTGACTTGCGTCGTAAAGGTTGCCGTAGTAGGCGAGGCAAAGGTCGTCGTAAATGGTGGTCACGTCCACGTAGAGCAGGTCGGGGTTGATGGCGTTTTCACCTTCGTAAGTCCATCCCCAGCCAGCGGTGCGTGCGGGGATGTCTTCGAATTTCAAGCCGTTTTGCGACCAACCAGGCAAACGTGCAGTTTGAATGGCTGTTTAATTTTATCTTTTTTTTTTAAATAATATTTTTTTTTAAATTTTTTTCTTACTGGAGGTGAGGTTGATCCTCGAATCGAACTCAATGACGGCGATGTCATTGGCCAAAGTGAAATCGTCGTAGGCCTGGTGAACCCTGACTTTGGTCGCGGTCACAACAAGGCGGCCGGGTTCAGCCGCGTTGTTGTAGTTCAGAGCACCGAGAATGACTTCATAATAGACTCCTCTGAATTTTTTAGTATCAAATAAGTAGGATAATCCTTTGGTACATTTTTATTTATACCCAGTGGTGCAATGGGCAGCGGTGAGGACAGTGTAATCAGAAATGAGGACTCCGCCGCAAAATTCAACTCCATTATTTAAAACAGCGGCAATATAAGGGAACTGACCAGCGGTGGCGAGAGATCCACCAATAATTTTTGACGATTTTTTGTTATAGGCTTTGCAAATTAAAATAAAATTAGTATTTGCTTCCAATTTAAGTGAGAATACCTTTTCTGAGCAGGGGACTGGATTTAACCCTGAACGCCGGCCTCACTGCAGACCAGTCGACGGCCTGTTTGAAAAATAATTCCGTTTTTTTATTTCACCTCGCGAATTTCTTAAAATGAAATTTATACCTCAGAGAGAGCCAGAAGAGCTAAAATTGCTATGGCACTTTTCCACATCTTGAGATTTATTCAACAATTGGACACTTTAAATTTTTAACTCTCTTATATAACTATAATGCTCTTTTTATCTTGTGGTGCATCAGTCTGGCTGATTAAATCTTATCAATAGTGGTCAAGAGAAAATTTGGCTTGATTGGTTGTGATAAAAAAAACCCGCATCCATTTCCAAGCAAACAAAAACCACTCCTGAATGCCTCTTTTTGATTATTTAATATCAAGTTTTTATCTTCGATTGGACTCTCCATGACACCAATAGCAGCAAAATCTTTTGCGCTTTTTAAAATGATTAAAAGTTTGGCTTTTGAATTATTTCTCTCAGAAGACTGCGTTAGATATTCATTTTAAATCAATCAGCTTTGAGAGAAAACGAAATATTGCAGTAAAATAGAGTTTTTAAGTTTTTATTATTTTCTTCTATTTTTTTTTTTTTTTTGTGAAAACTTTTGGCTTGCTCCTGAACTCAATTCACATTGAAAAAGACATAATGTAATCTTGTAATGTGTAAATCAAACAAGCAATATTATCAGAAAAAAGCTCTTCAATATACAAAATTGTTTTTTGTTTAATTGTTTATTGTTTCAATATAAACCATTTTTAATGACAAAGATTTCATGTATTTTGGCAGCCGCCATAAAGGTAAAATTTTAATAAAATACGGAGAAAACTTGGAAACTTCTGTGCTTCAGTTGTTGAAATGAAATTGGCAATTCGCCCATAAAGTTACCCCTCCTGAGATGCGCAACAACCAGTTTGAACTGCAAAACCGGCTGGCCGTTTGTTCGCATTGCGTCGCTTTTCTACACCTGAAGCGGCGCTTTAAAACACAACACAGAAAGTAAAAAACTACGGCGAAATGGCAACGGCAAACCTGACCGCTGTTCTTTATAAGGCCAATGATTTGCGACTGGTGAGGAATATTTAATTATTTTAATAATTCGCAGTTAAAATACAAAAATTAAATAAATATTTTGTTTTTTAAGGAAAACAGGCCAGTCCCAGATCCAAAGGAACATGGTATAAATTTAAAATATTAACAAATTTCTTAATCTTCTGCAATTTAATTTAGAGGTTCTTTTGGAAATGGGCTGTGTTGGAATATGCGGATCCGATGTTCACTACTTTATCAATGGAGCCAACGGAGAAAAAGTTGTAAAAGCCCCCATAGTGATGGGGCACGAAGCCAGTGGCACTGTGGCCAAAGTCGGTAAAAATGTCAAGCACCTCAAAGTTGGTAAAACAAATCCATCTGATATAAATCAAATTTTTTATATATCTTTAAATCGCTAGGAGATAGAGTGGCAATCGAACCAGGCATACCGTGCAAAATTTGTGACTACTGCAAACAAGGTCGTTACAATTTGTGCGCTGAAATAAATTTTTGCTCTTCCCCGCCTTGCAATGGAAACCTTTGCCAGTATTACACGCACTCGGCCGACTTTTGTTATAGGTTAATTTTTCTATTAAAATATTTTGGAAATTTTGAAATTTTTAAGCAGACTCCCCGATCACGTTTCGATGGAGGAAGGCGCGCTTTTGGAGCCACTTTCAGTTGGAGTGCACGCCTGTCGAAGGGCAGATGTCAAGTTGGGGTCAACCGTGTTGGTCACTGGCGCTGGACCCATTGGCCTGGTGTCAATGCTTAGCGCTAAAGCCATGGGAGCCACCAAAGTCATCATTACTGGTGCTTTAAAATTTTCTTAATTTATTTAAAATAAAAAAAAAATTGAAATTATTTTTAACATCAGAATTATTTTTACTTTGGGAGCTTTATATGAAAAACTTTAAATTTCAGAAAACAATGAAACAATATAGCATAATAACACTTAATAATTAATTTGAATAAAAATCCACACAGATTTGGTGCAGAAACGTCTTGATTTGGCTAAAAGTCTTGGCGCCGATCACACACTGCTTTTAATCAACTTAGACGAAAAAGCCATAGTCGGTCAGATCCACCAGCTTTTGGGTAAAGAACCTGACAAGTCCATTGAGTGCTCTGGAGCTGAGAGCTCCATCAGGATTGCGATTCAAGTAAAATAAAATATTCAATTGAAATCAATGTTGAATTTAAAAATTAAATAAATTGCAGTCCACAAAGTCAGGTGGAGTGGTTGTGATGGTCGGCGTGGGAAAACCCAACGTTACCGTTCCTCTGATGAATGCCCTTGTGAGAGAGGTGGATATTCGAGGCGTACACAGATATGCCAACTGGTATATTATAATTATAAATTTTTTTTAATTTTAAAACGTTAATGTTTTATTTATAAAAAAGCTACCCATTGGCACTGGAATTGACTGCATCTGGAAAAGTTGACGTTAAAAAACTTATCACGCACAATTTTTCTTTGGAGGAAACACACGCCGCGCTCGAAACTGCCAAATCTGGAAGTGGAGTGAAAATCATGATTCATTGCAAACGGAAGAAAATATCTGAATCTGCGAGTTAATTAAAATCCACGAGTATTAAAATATGTGATTAAAAAATATTTAAATATTTGATTATGGTATTTTACAATTTTACCCTCCCTCCCTATTAGAGATAAAAAAATTTTTGTATATTTTCTTTTATTTGAGGCAGATTTGTGCTGAAGAAAAATAAAAAAGGACGCAATCGCTAAGCGTGATATCTCGTATTTCACAAATATAAAACCAATAAAATGAATCGTCATTTGAACTTGTTTGACCCGCGACTGTGTATGATGAAATAAAAAAGACGATGGAATGCGCGCCGTTGTCTGCAAACAGACCGTTATCAGAAAAAAACATCTCCTATCAGAATCTTAAATTGTTACAAAGAGATTTTCGCTGTAGAATATTGAAAATATATTTCTCTTTCCAATTTTCGTATTAAATGAAACGCAACTAAATTGCAAACAAGCTTGCGATTTCTGATAAGGAATATGAGAATGAGAAAATAATGAATCAGAGGAATTCTAGCAAACACCAAACTACGACTTATTAATGCTTCAATAATTGATATTTAATTAGTTTGAGAATAGATTATTTTAGGCACCTTGTCATACTTTTACTTTCTGGAAGAATGCAGAACGTGGTGGAGAATTTTGGAATAAACGCGCCGGCGCTTGCGTGTTTGGCGCCCAATATTTAACCCCGCTTGAGATGCGCACCAGTTTGACCTACTAAAGTACGAAATCAGCTCTCGACTGCTGTTCTCCAGCTGACGGCGTGGTGCACACTTGGCGAACTAAGGGCAAAACAATCGCGGCGATCATGGCATCGGACAACCTGACAGCCGTCCTGTACAAGGTCAATGATTTGCGACTGGTGAGACTGATTCTCTGTACTTAAATTTTCAAATTATCAATTATATTTCATTAGGAAAAAAGATCAATACCTGAACCAGAGGATCATGGTAAAAATATAAATGAAATATTTGATGTTGTATTAATTTTTAAAATTATTCAGAGGTTCTTTTGGAAATGGGCAGCGTTGGTATTTGCGGGTCCGACGTGCACTATTTGGTCAATGGAGCTATTGGAGATTTTGTTGTGAGGGCTCCGATGGTGATGGGACACGAAGCAAGCGGCACTGTGGCCAAGGTTGGGAAAAATGTCAAGAACCTCAAAGTTGGTAAATAAAATTAATTTAAAATATTTAATCTAATTAAAATGTTTTGAAATCTCATAAAAATCAATCCTTATGACCACGCCAGCCATGATTATATTAATTTTCCGGATATAAAAAATTGAATTTATCAGTTTATTTTAATTATTTAACTACTTAATGTATTATTTTTATTAATAAATTTGAAATATGTACCAAAATATACAAATAAATATGTAAAAATTAAACATTATTAATTACAAAAAATTAAAGTATCAGGAAAATTAAGAAATTTTAAGGAAATTTTTTTTAAAGATAATATTATAAAAAGCCACAAAATTTTTTATTTAATAACAATGTAAGCCAACGCATAATTTGCCTATTTTGCAAAGGGAAATTTAAAAACAATTTTTTTTCCAATTTTTATAGGCGACAGAGTTGCCATCGAGCCAGGCGTCCCCTGCAAAACTTGTGAATATTGCAAACACGGCCGCTATAATTTGTGTGCCGACATAATTTTTTGCGCAACCCCACCTTGCCATGGAAACCTGTGCCAGTACTACACGCATTCAGCTGACTTTTGCTACAAGTAAATAAAAATATTAGAAAAAAATGCAAAATAATATTAAATTACAAATTTTTAAAGACTTCCAGATCACGTTTCAATGGAGGAAGGCGCGCTTTTGGAGCCACTTTCGGTTGGAGTGCACGCCTGTCGAAGGGCAGATGTCAAGTTGGGGTCAACCGTGTTGGTCACTGGCGCTGGACCCATTGGCCTGGTGTCAATGCTTAGCGCCAAGGCCATGGGAGCCACCAAAGTCATCATTACCGGTAATTTTTAATGTGAAAAAATTGAAACAAGAAAAATATAAAAAGTGTATTTTTTTTTTCAGATTTGGCACAAAATCGTCTCGACTTAGCAAAAGATTTGGGCGCCGACTACACAGTTCTTCTGAATAAGGATAGTAATGAAAAGGCCATAGTCGAGCAGGTCCATCAGCTTTTGGGGAAGGAGCCTGACAAGACCATCGAGTGTTCTGGAGCTGAGAGCTCCATCAGAATTGCCATTCAGGTATATTAGAAATTCAATTTCTAAAATAAATTTTTTTTTACTAAATATGAATTGCAGGCCACAAAGTCAGGTGGAGTGGTTGTGGTGGTGGGAATGGGAAGACCCGAAGCTACCGTTCCTCTGGTGAATGCCCTTGTGAGAGAAGTGGATATTCGAGGTGTCTTCAGATATGCTAATTGGTAATAATTATATAAAAAAAAAATGCTTTCTCTAAATGTTAACATTTTGAAAAAAAAACACAGCTATCCATTGGCATTGGAAATGATTGCGTCCGGCAAAGTTGACGTGAAGAAACTAATCACGCATAATTACACTTTGGAAGAGACGCTCGCCGCATTTGAAACTGCCAAAACTGGAGCTGGAGGCGCTGTCAAAATCATGATCCATTGCAAAAAATAAGATTACCTTTTAAGAAATGTCATCAAAAGAAAATGTTGAATTTTAGTAAATAAATCAATAAATATATTTTCTAATAATTTGCATTCATATTTTTTCAAAGTTCAATATCTGCACTTTTGAAATTGGATATTTTTATGCTGTTAAGAGTTTAAGAAGCTTTTCTGATGCAATTTTTATTTCAAAGCAAAATACGATCTTTGTTTGTTGACTGTGGTTTAATAAATTATTGACAATCATGAGTGAAAGTCAACCGATGATCTAGTGATATAAAAAATTGATGATGGAGAAAGAGGAATAATATCTTCACCATAAAATAAAAATGTGGCAAATAAAGCCTTTGATGATGGAAACCTTACATTATGATCGTTTATAATTTTTTAAGGAACTCACAATCAGATGCACTAATATGAATTTCATATAAATTATTATCGCAATTTTAAATTTTAGTATCGATGCAATAATTTTTTTTTATTTTAAATGTAAACCTAGTTAGTATTTAATTGAAAGGATATAAAGATTAAAAATTGCTAAATTTTAGGTTAACTACAAAATTGTCTCTCACAGAATGCTTCAAAATTGAGACAAAATTGTTTAAAAACTTTGAATTATTTTATTGGCCCAGTATTTAATCTTCAAAGTAATAGTACTTTTGTGTTTCTGTGTACTTTTTTAATCTACGAAAATTTTGAAAATATGCCTCCAGCTTCCGGCTCGCCCAATATTTAGGAATATTCGCTTCATTTAAAAAGCTTTCACTTTTTCACTTTTATGACGTTTATGACAAAACCTGTTTTTTTCACTCCATCCTAAAACCGCGGAGCTATTTTTTACTCTTGTAAATTCGAGATTCACCAGCACGTGAGGTGACAAACCGGAGCGTGATTATTAAAGCCACACAACTGTAAATGCAATTTCCTTGGCTTGCACACGGCGGCTGCAGCGCAGAGGAAAAGGAAAAAAAATATATAATTCGAGATAAAGAACGTGCTGTCTGTTGCTATACAGGGGGGGACGCATGCTCTGCTCACGCGTGAGTCACTCGACAAAAAAATTACAGCGCAGCTCGCTCAACAATTGAAAGAGAGGAAGCAAGCGAAGGGCCAAAGACTTATTCAAGCTCCAGCGCTCGACACAGAAATCAGCTGCGCACCAAAACAAACGACGAAAGCAGGTCGAACCCGAGACCCTGGCACCCGTTTGATGCCCTGAAACCAGGGAACAGGGCAAAGGTGAGTTGAAATTGGATAAACTAAAGTTCTCCTGGACGTTTTTGTTGACCATAGCAACGCAGGTTTTGTGTTCGGATCTCGCGTGTGACGCAATTTAACAAAAGCCAGATGATAATCTCCGAGCTCTCGGACGGAACTTTTTTATTTTTTGTCCAATTCAAGCCCGGACGTCAGTCAATTTATAATTGGGCTCTGATCAAAAAGGGGATCGATTCAGTCGAGCGCGAATTATGCATGTGCAGTGTGGAAATACAAAAAGCGAAGGCCGTCGGACCGACGACTGATGGCGCGCAATTATTATTATTATTATTATTGTTATGATCATTTCGATGAGTGTGTTTGGCTCGACGTGTCGCACCACTGCGGCTGCTCGCCTCGCAAATGACTGAAATGTGGACCTATTTTGCAGCTAAAATGTGGCAGAATCTGGAGCCGGGCAGTTCGCCCATCGACTGGTGCGAGAACAATTACACCTTCAGCCCTTTGATCGCCGAGTTCACCAACACGGTGAGTGTTTTTATTCAAATTTTGACCCTTTTCCTCATCCCTCACTGCAGAGGGAACCATTCGTGTGTTTAATTGGCAAGGGTCCAACGCTAAACTAGGCTGGGAACAAAAATAACCAAAAATTCATTTAAAAAAAGCAAAAATATTTAAATTTAAATATTTTATGACGATAATTTATAAAAAAAAATCCACTTTTGTAAAATTTAAATAGAAGTTCAAATTTTTTATCCAAATTTTAATTAAGAAATATTTCCAAAATTTAATTTTTTTTACAGTTTTTTTCACATTTTAATATTTATTACATTTTTTTATTCTTTCTTCGTGATAAAAATTTAAACTTAATAAAAGTGAAATGTGTTCCGCAAGTCGGTTTTAAAGTTTGTAATGGCCCGTCTGTCTGTAGTAAAGTTTCACTGCCAAAAATTTGCCGCATTGCAGCGCACAAGTGTTTAACAAACGTGTTATAGCGTAACAACCACATAATTTTTTTTCTTGCTAAAACTAAAAGCTGTTGGCTCCCGTATCAGACAATTTACGCAAATTTGACGCAGCGCTGCTTCTGCTGGTCAACGTTTGTCGAGATTGCGTCACTGAAATTTGGGTCAGAGTTTCTTTTCCTTTCGCTGATAACGCACTGCGCGCGGTTCAGAGGTCAAACCGCGATTATATAAATTACGCGAACTTTTTAAAACGCAAAAGAACTATTGCGCACTTGTCATACTCTATGGCTATGTAAATTTTCCATGTCCATAAAGATTCGTTTAATCTTGAGGAGGTGTTCATGATAAATATAAATAAACAGGCCTCTCCTTTGGATTGCAAAAGGATTTTAAAAGATTTATTTTATTATATGCGCATGTTTAATTGCAACAGCAGTAAAAATTATTTCTTGTTGTTCTCGCTATACATTAAAATGTTGTTGTTAAAAAATTTAATAAACAGTCAAGCTAATTTTTAATCGTTGATCATTCAGACCAAGGGTCACAACCATAAACCTTGCTACATCTCCATAAAAACCCTAAGTTTCAAGTTTCACTGAATGAAAAATCAGCTCTTTTTTGGCCACAGCCCAATGAAATTTTAATTTTTTTTTTATCCAAAAATCCTTTTTTCTCCTTTTTTAATAATTTTGTATTTCCTTATTTTTAAAATAAATGAAATGTTTAAAACTTTGAGTTTAATTTCAATTTTGAAAATTTGTTTATTTTAATTTTGTTCTTTTCAGTTGAGCAACATTCTGTTCTTCCTGATGCCACCGGTACTAATCCATTTATTCCGAGAGTACGGACGCTTCGTCAACCCTGGCATTCACATAATTTGGATTTTGCTCATGGTCGTCGGACTTTGCTCGGCCTATTTCCACGCGACTCTCAGTTTCATCGGCCAGCTTCTGGACGAGCTCGCCATCCTTTGGGTGTTGGCGGCTGCGCTTGCCATGTTTTTCCCCAGGCGCCACTTTCCTGCCATTTTAAAAAACGACAGGTAATCCCACGCCATAGGAAATTTTACTAAATTTTTTTTTTAAGTAAAAACTCATTTTAATTGTTACTTTTTTAACTTATTTAAATTAAACTGATTCCAATTTCGGGAAAAGGATATGTGATTTATTATTTTTCTGATGATTTATTTAAATTTCAGGCGCAAATTTGGGTATGTGACTATTTCCTTGGCCATGGTCGCCACAGGACTGGCCTTTCTCTACCCATTCGCAAATGCCTTCGCCCTGATGGGTTTCAGTATTTTGGTGGTTGTCTTGATGGCTACAGAATTACGAAGGTTAAATTATTGCTCTTGTCGTCAAAGCGAAGGAAATGAGTAAATGGAATTGCTTTTTAATGGCCGCCTATAGTGTCATTAGGGTGATAACTTTCTTGATGTGTGTCGCCAGTGAGAGCCATTCAAGTTCTTTCTTGATAAAGGCAAATAATAATTTACTAAGAGCGAGAGGAAGAAGTGGGAGGTTTTAATATTTTATTTTGTTATTACATTCGGCTCTTAAAGGTTGCGGGGATATTATTCAAAGACTTTCTTTTTTAACACATTTTCTCATTTTTTGTCTTGGTTTTTTTTTTAATGCCAATTTTATTTTTGACAAAGATTTAAAAAAAAAAGGTGAAAGACAGAGCATCTTAATGATTGGGAAAAATTAAAAATAGAATTTGCTGAATCTTGATTCAAGAGAATAATAAATTCAGTTTGCATTCTTTAACTGTTTGTAACACCTGTTTATTGTTTGTTTGTAGAATATTAATTGTTATTGCAAACAATGAGCTATTGCTGCATTGGTGCTATAACCTCTATGTGCAGTTTTCTCAATCTGGCTCCCTAATTTAAATCAATTGAAATATTACGAAATATTGCATTGAAATTTTTACTAGCCCAACAAAATTCTCTTACTAAATTTCATGTTATCTGTCAATTAAATTAATCGAAATTAATCATAGAACTATAACTTTATTTTTGGTGATTTTAATTTTAAATCTAAAAAAATGAGTAATAATATAATTTCACGATTGAAGCTGGATTTAAATTTAACTGCAGCTTTTCCTCTCCTCAACAACAAAACACAAAAGGAAAAGCCGTATTGCAACACTAAACAAACATAGATTTATATTTAAAAGAGTCTTCGTTAATTCCATTACAAATTATCCTTAGCTTGACAACTTTAATTTATTAACTATTTTTTTTATTAAATCATTTTAATTTCAGGAATCAAGATGCAAGAGTGCAGCGTCTGGGCAACCGTTGCGCCATTGCTTGGGTCGTGGCCGCCGTTCTGTGGACCACGGACCGCATGTTCTGCTCAACTTGGCTCTCCCTCGACTTCCCCTACCTACACGCCCTGTTCCACATTTGCATTTTCATCGTGTCCTACACGGCCTGCGTTCTGTTTGCCTTTTTCGCGGTCAAAGATGAGCGACCTGATCTCAGCCCCACCCTCAAATACTGGCCCAGGGACCACTTCGAGCTCGGAGTTCCGTATGTCACAGTCAAGAATGGCGGACACCAAATTTAGGGTCAAGGAAGAGACACTGCCTCCTCGAGTGTTTAGTACAGGCCTCGTTGTTATCTCAGGAGAAAATTGAAGATCACTTTTTAAGACAAAAGCGTCAAAGATTTCTCGTAACAGTTTAAGGCTTTTGTAGGTCGAATAGAATTGTTGGTTTTAAAACTGCCACAATATCAATCATTGCCAAAAAAGACCAGCAGAATATTAGCTCAAAAGTTTAAAAATGTACTTTGCAAGATTTCAGATGATAATATTTGTAACAAATTGTATTTGCAAGCTTTTAACTGTATGCAGTATTTTTAGCAATTTTACATGCTGTCTAGAGCTATATTTATAAAATGAAAATTCTGCATTACCTAAGTAGTGATAGTCGTGATAAAATACAGAGTAACTGACTTTATTATAATGTGATTGAGTTGTGGATTAAATGTGATTTGGAGAATAAGTCGAAATTATGAACAAGGTGATTGTCGAGCAAGCTATATATTATACACAATTAATACAAGCTAACTTTTGTTGTGAAAGATTTAAATTTTAGATCAAAATGATCAAGATGTGCACAATTAAAGTATTATCAATTAATGTTAACCCAAGTGGATCAGAAAAGACAAAATTTAAGCATTTATTTGAGATTTGATTTTTGTGTTTATCTTTTTTTTGGTCACTTTTTTTGAATGCGCATTAGTGAGATCAAAACTCTATTGTAAATATTTTTTAATTTCCTTTTCCTATTTTGCCTGTCGGCACTTTTGTAAATCTCAGCTTATTCAAGCATGAAAATTGGCATCTTTAAAATTATTTGTTACCAAATTTGACTTGATAAGCTCAGCTATTATGCTACAAAGTGCAGAGTAAAATTACTGAAAATTAGAGCAGCGCTTCACAAAAATAAATGAGATGCAATTAAATAATAGCTAGATGATATTATTCTCTATTCGATAACCCATAATTTAATTTTCTAAAAATTGTTGCTGTTGACAAAATATATTGAAAGATTTTACTTGGGCGGCATTATAGATGCAGTCCCTCATTAATATCAGTGATGAGTGAACTTGAGTATGTTGAAACAAATTCCATATGCCTTTTTATATGGATTAAACTTGAATTTCATAAACAACTCCATGCAAGCCGTCTATTGCTATAGAACAGCATTGAATCACGCACAGACGACACAATCATTAGCCAAGCGTCTTCAACAAACAAAACATTGTGCTACTCCAATTTATCAGATTTATAATTGGAGCAAAATAATTTTATGACGGGTGTTTTCTAAATGGAAAAGTATTGAAAATTGAGCGCAAAGTTGTAAGTGGGATGGCTAATAATATTAAGAGTTTCACTTTTAACTTTGGCAATATCTTAAAAATCTCTAATAATTCTCACTCCTCAAATCTTGTTGCGAGGCGGAACCAGCTATGGCAGAGAACAAGTTTTTTAACTGCAGTTTAATCGCCTGTCAGCATGATTTTACTCTTTTCATCCGTACAATTTGCACGCTCCTTCCAAAGCAATATGTATCATAATTTTTGCCCATCATCTTAATCTAACAGAAAGAAGAAAAATATCATTTGTTAAATTTAATTTCTAAGAATAAAGTAATAAATTCAAGTAAAATTATTTATCTATTTTATTTACTATTAAAAAAGAAAAGTATTTAAAATATAATCAACTAATATTAATACCTAAAATTGAAAATTATCTCGAATAGAAATTTCTTAAAACGGTCTTTTCACTTGTGTAATTTTGTGTAAGAGGGAATGAAGCATGTTCTCTTGAGGGTGTCAAAGATCAAACATGCGATTAATTAAGATTAGTGTTGTCCAGCCGGTGCAGCCAATGAAAGAGGTTCTCGCAGAGGCTCGGCGGCGACTGCTAATTTCCAAGGTGACCCACTCCGCTGGCATGGCATGGCATAGCAACCGCGGCGGCGAGCCCACCAAGAGGTTCGCCTTCGTTAACTTTTAAAAGAGTACATCTTGCTATGTAACATATTTATAAGAGTTAAAACGTGCCGCTTTTCCATACGCAATCCTTGATGACCATTACAATTCTGGTTAGAGACGGATTATCCATAAAAGCAGCGAGGGATAATTTTTTTTTCATATAGGCTTTTGCAAGCTTAGACATGCGGGCATTTGAATGCATAATGAATTTGACATTGTAAAAAAATCATATTTTAATAACAAAAAAATATTTACATCGAGAGATGGTTGTTAATGTTTTTAATTTTTCCATATTATTTTTTTTTTTGTAGCAAGAATATGAAATGTTTTATTCAGATCTCTTGATGAGGCAATGATGCTCATCTTTGAACTGGAATTAAAAATTGCTTGGCACTTTGCACTACAGATTTGAGATTTCAAGTGCTTTTAAATTTCTATTAAATAGATCCGTTTATCATCTCTGCTGATTGTGAGATCAGGGCCCTCAAAGGGATAAAGGTCGTTTGTGCGTCACTTTGGCAAATGCTAATTAGCGCTTTGGGAGAGATATTTGCAACACAGTTAGCGCTTTTCAAAAGCTATTCGATCATGTAAACGACCGCCGGTATAGCATTGCAAGATCAAAATTTGAGAAACAAAAAATTATTCTCGGCTTTGTCGATTAATAAAACAATTTTTTCAACAAAAAAGATAATTTTTACCTCAATCGAAAATTGCAGTTTTATGGCTGCGGAAGATATTTTAGCAACACGCCCAATGCTGTAAAATGGTGCGAAAAATACTTGAATCACGCACAAGGATTTGACATGGAATAGGATACAAAATACATCTTGATAAGATTAAAAAAAAGCGCCTTTGGAGACAGAACGCGAAAAACAGATTACGAAATTTCATATATTATTTTCCGATAAAATAATAAGTTCGCACTTTGAGAGTCCAATTGCGTTGTTTGCTTAATTCTGCCCAAGGCCGAATGTTGCCGAGCAGTCACATAACTAGATTAACTTTGGGGAATTATAATTATTCGATCTCCAGAAATAAACGCGTGTGAACCTTGAAAACGACCAGGAAGGGCCAACGAATATAATGAGCGGCGTTTTCCAATAATTCAGTCCTAGTCTGGCAGCCAAGCAATGCATAATGCGGCATTAGTGTGCATTTCCTAGTCCATTAATTCATAGACTAAAGTCTGCTGCTGACACTTTGCTAGGAATAAAGTGACGTTGAAGTCGCCTTGCCTATTTCTAGACCGCGCCGCGTTGGCTAATGCGCGACGCTTTCACTTCAGAATATTTAATACCTTGTTTATTCAAGAGACAACCGATTTTTAAATGTTTTCTGAAAGTGTGTAGCGCAAAACAATATAAAAATGTGCAAAATTTAATTTAATATAAAATTAATTTATAAAAAAAGTTGGAAGATCAAAATTTAAAAGATGATTCGAAAAGATTTTTCTTTCTTGAAAAATTATTATTGTTAGAAGTAAAAAAAAAAACACATATCTTTAGTTTTTAAAATTTGAAAAATACAGCAAAATAATTTGCTTGCAAACTTTCAGCAAGCAAAGTTTTCCGTTACAATGCTTTTAATTTTTTATTTTTGTTTAATAAAAACTATTTTGTTAAATACATCCGGGTCCAGCCAATTTCCTCCCAATTTCTTATTTTTGAAATTCTTTTTTTAGTGGGAATAATAAGAATTGAATTTAAAAAAAAGGAACTTTGTTAGGATTTACAGATTTTTTTTCGATTTTTTCTTGCAATTAACAAATTAAACAAAAAAAATGGATTTTTCACAAGGTTCCAATTTTTTTCCTTAAAGTAATTTTTTCATATCATAGGCTTTTCCTCACAAATTTTGTGTCTATCAATTTTCTGTATTGCTACTTCCATGACAGCAGTGCACGTTTCGTCTAATTGATCAATGGAAGATTATTATGCAAATAGGTGCAGCGTGATTAAAAATTTATATGAGCCGTGAGAATTAAGTGACTAGACAAAAAGGCAAATTGTGTTTTCCTCTCTAGGAAGGCCTTGGCAAAATTGAGCGCAAAAAGTGCAGATAATCGCTGCCTCAATAATTTGAAAGGGCAACTGACGCAAATTGAACAAAAAGCACTATTTGAATTTCGCGTCGGGTCATCCTGTGACGCTGGTCGAAGCACCTGGTTCCGATGTTCATTGTGTGCATGTGCGGGATCAGGCGCAGTGGGAAAATCTTTCTGAGTGTGACGTCGCGGCAAGCAGAGTTGCTGCGGCGTAGAGGGAGAGACGAGCCCCCAAACGCCCGAGCGGGGCCGAAGTCGATGTGTTTTCTGTGATTGGCGCACAACTGGTGATCAACTCACTCGATTGGCCCCCACCGGGTCTGGTATAAAAGCCCACGAGCCCTTCTTTTGGGACATCATTTCATTTGCATCAGTCGGTAAGTGCACTTAATTTCCGTCGCCAAATGTGTGTGCTGCTTTTTATGTTTTCCAACTAACCGAGCCCGAAATTCATTCCATACTGACCTAGATAATTCCAAAATGCGTTGAATTAGAATTTTAATTATATTTCACTTCTTTTAAGCAGGAAAGTCTTTATATTTAGATTCATTTTAATTTTTGTTAACGCCTGCCTGTTTTTTCAACATTTTATTTTATTTGCTTAAAATTATAAATTATTTTTATTATCAATTGAATTTCGAATTTTTGGTAACAAATAAAGGGTACTCGACAAAAGAATGAAAATAATAATTATAAGAAAATTTGTCCTTGAGGAAAACAGGGAAACCACATTGAAGTTTTTTATGCGACGAATTAAATTAACAACTATATAGGAAGTTTTATCTTTTTTGTAATTTTCCCAACCTCACCAATAAACGGGAACTTTTCATGACTGTTTTTCGTCATGAAATTTTAATTTCTCGCGTCTTTCGCATTTCGCACATCTTGGAGCGATTTCAAGCGCCACAGATGCGTCTAGTACTTTTCCATCGAGCTCCCCTAGCTGATGTTAAAAAGCTGCTGCGCGAACCCAGCACGTGAGGAAAACGAAATTAAATAGACTGTTTAAGACTGGTGGTTGCCAAAAAACGGCTTGATAGGCTTGTTGACCACGTAGAAAGAATCAAATCCGAAAGAAGAATTCGTCAAAACAGCTCGGCTGACGTAAATCTGGTAAATCTCGAGCGGGGCGTAAATTTCGAGCTCGCGTGGTTTGGCAAAAACAAGCGAGTTTGTTCGCGTGTCGCGGGGTTTAAGGACGCGACGGTTGCTCATTCTTTTCGGTTTCTATGCCAACTTGGCCTCACTATACTTTTGCTACAGCACAATATTAATTCAGATTGAACCGGTGCGCACCGCCGCGAGATTATATCCAAACGCGGGGTTTGATGTCATCAAAAGCCTATATAAATATATGACGCACGCGTCATAACAGGGGTCGGGTTAATTTTCAGGGCGTCACTCTTCTTCTTCTCTCCTCAAATTTGCCAGACGCAAAATTATTATATAATGAAATTTTAAAAAAAAAATTCGCAATTTTAAGAGTTTGATTATTTCACGGATTTTTTCCGATTACTTCATTTCAGTAAAAAAAAAATGCTCGGTAAAAAACACCCTGGTATAAGAAAGGTTAAGTTGGTTTCCAGATTAATCCTGAATTAAGCTTTTCTCCTTGATAATAAATATAGCAGACTGCAGAATTGATCGTGGCGAGCAAAACTAGTGCACGCTCGATATTCTCCCGGCGCGAAATAAATAAATTGCGTCTCGGCCAGGTTCGCCAAAGCTCTGAATGTGAGTCGTCGTGTAAATAAGAATGAATAAAAAATAAGACCGTGTGTCGCTGCTCGTCTCTTGAAAGCAAGAGCATTGACTTGGATCGTTTCTAGAACTCCGTCTGAGAGAGATAGACTTTGAGATGTAAAGACAGGAGAAGCGCTCTTTGAAGCCGAGAGATATTGTTAATGAGGACAATTCAGTGGGCCGACGGACTTTGATAATTCGGATAATTCCTTTTTTTAAGACTCGTGCTTCTTTGTCTGGCTTATTTATTTTGTGGCAAAGAAAGGGAAAAGAAGAAATTCAAAATATTTTTAGTACAAATTTACTGAACCACCTTGGTTTACAGAAATTAATAACATAAAAAAATTGTAATAAATTGAAATTCTTGTAGTACAATTTCACGACCGAGGGTTGATTCATGGTGATTTGAATTTAAAATCCGCTTTTCCTCGTTGGGTATTTTGAGTTGTTTATTTTTAAGAAAATTGATATTGTTATTTCTTAAAAAAAATAAACTACTCAAAAAACCCAGCGAGGAAAAGACGACTTTAAATTCAAATCATCATAAATTGAAATTCATTAAGGAAATTGGATTATCATCGTTTTATAAAATTCTTGGTAATTAAATTTTAATTAAATTAATTTTTTAATTTATTTCCGCTTTAGTCTCATCTTGATTGCAGCCCTATTTCATGATCAATCGTCATTCTTTTTATCCCAAAAATTCAACCTTAATTGTATGCCGTAAAATAAAGCTCTTCAATTTTTATAGCGTTAAATTTGAAGTGAAATTTTTTTGTATTGACTGAGAAGAAAAAATAATAAAATAATAAATAATAATAATTAGAAATCAAAAGAAAGAAGAGCAAGTTTTTTTAATTTTTCAATAGAGCAATGAAGGTGACAAAACAGTTTATTTTAAATAAAACGAGAATTATTATAATGGATACAGATAATTGGATTTCTTTCTATATCTCACTACCTTGAATGAAATTCAATTAAAAAAAAAAAAAAAATGCCAAGATGACCAAGGTTGCAAATAATCAAGTTTTTTTGCTCTTATTATTACATGTGTATGTGTCGGTTGAAGTCAAAACAAAAAATGGTCTGCAATCAATTGAGGTTTTGCTTGAGGCTTGAGCGCAATGTCCAATTACACTCACGGAAAAGAAATATAATTGACGGTGTCAGGCAGTACTTTTTATCTGACAAACATTAAACGTTATCTGAAAAAAGCTACGAAACCTCCAAAATCCAGATGAATCGGGTTTTAACAGGGAGGAGTTCCGAAACTTTCCAAAAACCAGCCGCTGTCGCCTTGAACGGCCAGAGTGCATAAATATTTTATTTCAGACACGGCTTTCGAGCTTTTATCTAACCTGAGAATGAAGAAATGCATTGGAAGAGTTTCTCTCCTTTTTTTTCTCTCTAGCCGCGGCCGTGTATATAATAAATGACGTCGAGTATTTTACAATATCTCGGCGGCGAGAGAGCTTTGGGTGTAAAGAAAATTGCTTCCTGCAAGTGCTACACAGATTTGAAACGCGTTGTATTGTGCGTAACGCGAGGTTTGCGCAAATTATAATCTCGCTCGCCGCAATAGACTCGCACGCACCTGTCCTCGTGTGTGTACTCAACTGCACTTTGATAATCGCGGCTGGCGTTGGGATGATTGGTAGTTTCTCAGTAAACACTCGATCAATTGCCAAGGTCTTGTTTGTCAGCGGCTCGGAAGCAATCGCCCTCTAATGAGATTGGAAGGCTTTTCACGCCTCCAACTAAATTAGAATAGAAAAGAATTTTCGAAAATAACACATTTCAATTTGTAAATTTGTTGATATAATTACTGTGCATGAACACAAAATATGTTTTTAAAATTTTTAGAATTATTGCGCATAAATTCGTGTTGTTTTATAAGCTTGTAATGAAAATACATCCTGCTTTTTTATACTAAAATAATAATTTGTGTGCCAATATAAGAAAATAATTGCATCCTTCATAATTTAAAAGTTTAAAAAATAATCACGATAGACTTATTTTTTTGTGAAATTCATTATCTTGCCGCTTTTTCGATACTGATTTTGCCTCATTTGTGTGTTTCAGGTTGTTATAGCATGGTACTAGCGCACATCATCAACCCCTTCTATTTAGATATATCCCATAAACGCGCCAACAGTGCGCATATTTACGTCTTGTTTGACGACTTTAGGGAAGGAGCCTTTCCCATTTGATTAGTCTTTTTCCAATTTCACTAACATTCCATAAAGGTAAGTTGATTGATTAAAGCGCAAGTCGAAGCTCAGCCTCATACTATTTTGAATTCTAAATCAGATGTCGCAAATCCCCAAACTACCAACTACGGCCGTCACTGTGACCGAGAGCCCTCTTTATGTCAAGCTGCTGACGGCGGGCACCGCAGCATGCGTGGCCGACTTCGTAACTTTCCCTCTTGACACCGCCAAAGTTCGTCTGCAGGTAATAAAATTATAATCATAATTAAAAATATTTTAATTAAACATTTTGGTTGTTATCCTTTAACTTGAGTTGGTCTTTGTTTAAAAGATATTTACAGATTTATTGGAGGAAAAAACTCTTGATATTAAAAAAAAATTGACTGGAAATTTAAAACTTAGTTACATGTTAATTAAAAAATTTGCGGCATTTTTATGGTACTTTCATTTTAAATTTTTTGAAATTTTTATAAAACAAAAGAAAAGTTTTAATTTGACATTTTATCCCTTTTCTGAATTCATAAGTTAAAGTGTTTTTGTGATTTGTTTGTAATTTAGGTGCAAGGCGAGGGTCGAGCCGTTATCGCAGCAGCCATGGCCACGTCCGGTCAGGCAGCTGTGGTGGTGCCGGCTGGTCCGCAGTACCGTGGCCTGGTGGGCACAATCGCGACCATGGCGCGCCAGGAAGGCGCCAGGTAAATAAGCACAGCCCTCTGGTTGTTGCGCGTGGAATATAATGTATCAATGCAGGAGCCTGTACAATGGTCTCTCTGCTGGTCTCCAGAGACAGATGTGCTTTGCTTCTGTGCGCTTGGGCCTCTACGACACTACCAAGGCCTTCTACCAGCAGATTTTGGACGGAGGTTCGTTTTATAATTTAAATTTTTTCGATTTTTTTAAATTATTTCCTTGAATTTTTTAATTCATTATTTTTGTTAATATTGATTTTATAATTATTTTGTTTTAATCCCAGGAAACCCAAAAGTTGCTGGATCGATTCACGTTGGCACTCGCATTGCCGCTGGCTTCACCACAGGCGCCCTTGCCGTACTTTTGGCGCAACCCACTGACGTGGTCAAAGTTCGATTCCAAGCTGCCCAGAAAAACAGCTCGTCTCCGCGCTACAAGAGCACCCTTCAGGCTTACAAAACGATTGCGAAAAAAGAGGGCGCGCGTGGATTGTGGAAGGGTATGTTTTTCCTTAATTGCAAATTAATTATTTTTAATCCTCAAATTAATTTAAAAAATTTAATTTCAGGAACTTTCCCCAATGTTGGTCGCAACGCAATTGTCAACGTGTCCGAAATCGTTTGCTACGACATCATCAAAGAAACCATCATCAAGAACAACCTCATGACAGACAACGTTCCATGCCATTTTACCTCGGCTGTGATTGCAGGTGCGTAAATTACTTTCATTTTGTAATTACAATTAATTACAATCTTGTATCTATTTTTAATAGGATTTTGCACAACCGTTTTCGCTTCTCCCGTGGATGTGGTTAAAACTCGTTACATGAACTCAGCGCCCGGCACTTACAAGGGCGCCATCGACTGCGCCATCCGCATGTTTTCTCAAGAAGGACATTCTGCCTTTTATAAAGGGTATGTCGATCTAATTATATTTAAATTATAATAATAACTTTGAATTTTATAAAGATTCACCCCTTCGTTCTATCGCCTGGTGAGCTGGAACATTGTGCTTTGGATCACTTACGAGCAGTTGAAGAAAACGATCAGCAACTCGCGTCGCTTTGAATAAAAATTTGAGAGCTACTCTTCAACGCTGCATCCTCTATCTGAGTTTGAATGGAAAATAATTGTGCATTATTCTGTATGATTGTGATATGCTATATTTAAATAATACTTAGCTATGACTTGCTAATTATTCACACCTGACTTTACATTTCAAATACTATATTATATGTATAATTTATGTTGCTAACGTACAATATTGTTCACGTGTCTCAATGTTAAAAATAAAAGGGCCTGCCGCAGTCCAGCGTAACATAAACCTATCTCGTTTTTCTTTTCGAATCAACTTTTTGTGCATAATTTCAATATCTTGACGAAATGCAGAAATTCGGCAAAAAATGTTCTGTACTCACTCAGTGCTGGAGCTCCTTCACTACTTTCATGATCTCTTCAGCGTTCATTTCAAGTAGTTTCTGCTTGAAAGCCTGCATGTTAATGGCACTGTCCTGAGACTTGCTCTTCTCTCCCATTGTCAGACCGTCGTCCAGCAGTGAAGTTTGAGACAGAGACTGAAAGTTGTAGCTGAAGACTGAGGCTGTGGAAACATTTTTATTTATTTTTTATATAAATTGAAAATAAAATATGTACCATCTTGTCCAGTGTGAGTTTTTGGAGGTGTAGTTGCAATCAAAGGGGACAAAATACTGCAGGAGGCTGTGAGGTCACTGTCACTTTCAGACTCGTTTCCTCCGTAATTCGTCGGGCAGTACCTATTTTGAATGTAATAAAATAATTTTTTTAAATTTAAAAGATAACAAATACAAACTTTTCCACTAATTGAGAATAACTGCAGGTCAAAAAATCACTGTGATCTTCATTGTTGTCATCTTCAACCAATTGACTGTTTTGAGTGTATAATTCAGAGTTGTCACTATAATTAAAGTGAATCATGATAATTATTCCCAATTATTCAACTACAAAAAAATAAAAACCCAGCAACCTGAAAAATTTGTTCTCAGCAACCTTGAACGAGGATGGAAAGGCGCCTTGTTGACTAAATGAATTTGTTCTTGGCAACTTTTTATCAAATGAAACTGATTGTGAGAAATCTCTAAAATAAAAAAATAAAATGAAAAAAACAATAAAATATAATTGTCAAAGTTATTCAACAAAATCTAAACATACGTTGGAACGTCCGTATTGAAAATGCTCTCAAGAGTCTTAATCAGGCAGTCGTCTGCATCTGCAGGACCTAATGCAGACGAAGACGTAGGGAACTGGAGCTTCCTCTTTGCAGCTCGAGAGACAGTCATTTTCATGGGAAGATTGGAATTTCTCTTGCCAGGGGCGGACTGGGTGGAGATGCACTTGGCCTTGCCTTCAAGCCACGGCTGCTGGCTTTCCAACTCTTCAGGGGCTTTGATTGCCGAGTGAAAATTTCCAATGCCCATGAGAGGGGCAGGTGTTTCCTCTGCCTGCTATAAAAGGTTAAAACGATGATTTTTTTTTTCGATTTTGGCAAAAAAGCTCTAATCATTATCAATTTAAAAAATTTCACGTACACAAGCCATATACAAGAGATGGCTTTGGGTGTCCTTGACTTGTGTGGAAGCATCCTTATCGAAGGAACGAGGAGTGCTTCTCCGAGTTGCAGAAGCGCAGACTGTACTTTCAGCCACTCTTGGTAATAAATGCTCCATTCTGGTCCTGTTGAATTGCTACTTTCTGCAAATAATTAAAAAATACTAGACATAAAATGAATAAAATAGAATTATTATATGCGATAAAATTGAAATATTATAGAATGAGGACCCAGAGGATTATAACAAAATGCAGAAAATAAATAAAATGCTATACAAAAAGAGGAAATATTTTTACGTAAATACATAAAAAACAGTGCAATTCGACGATCGACGATGAGTAGGTATAAGTGACCATAGCTGACAAATTTAATTCATCATAATTTATGCTTTATGTACATATTGGATGATAAGAAAAATTAGACTTTATGAAGGAATTAAAATATGTATGGGTGAAATGAACGGATGAAGAAAGACTTGCATGTGGGATTAAAAATTAAAATTGAATTTTACAAACAATCACAAATAATGTCCTTTCCTATTTTTCCGTATGTATTTTTGTTTTCTAAAATATACCCTGCGCTCAAGCACGTTCAACTGCTGCTGTGTTCTGCACTTTGCACTTTTCACTCAATCTCTCCTAGTTTTTTTTTTTTTTTCCTCCCTACCCTCCTCTTTCACATTTTTTCACTTTGCGCCGCCGCTCCTTGTTGCGCCGTTTGCGCGCGATTAGGAGCAGATTAGGAGCAAGGATGAGGAGAGACATGTTTGCAGTTTTGCACGCTAGAGGGTAGGACGACGCAGATCTTGGTTTTGGAGCCAATCGCTGTGCGCGGAATAACGAAATTTTTGTGACGTCAGAGGGGCGGTAGGGCGGTACTCGTTTGAAGTTTGAACACAAAAGAAATTAAAAACGACAAACGGCCGAAGTGGATTTGCTCACAAACGCGCCTTTTTTATTTCCCTAATTTAGGGATTTTTCAGGTGTTGCGCGTCCTGATTGGGAAAAATGTTTTCCAAAGCCAAAATCACGAGATTCAACGAGGTCGAGGGTGAGTAAAAGAAGCATCTTTGATGATTTTTTCATTGAGAAACAGCCTTTTGAATTCGCATTGTCCGTTGACCACGTTTTTAAATGGCACTTTGGCGCTATTTAATCTTGCCATTTTAATTCGAGTGTAAATACCGTAAATACGGATGAATCATGTTGCTTATTATTTTAGGCTGTGCACCACCACCGGGCACTTATGATCCCAAGAAGGAAGAGAAACTTGTTGGCGGCGTTTTGAGCAAAACGCAAAGATTCCCTGAGCTTGCTGCCAACGAAATTGCAGGGTTAGGGGTCGCTGCCATTTCTGGTTCGACAGAGCATCTGCCGAAAAAAACGGTATTGCACATTAATTTACAATTGTACTCTTTCTTTTTTTACAATATTTTTTTTATATAAAATTGTTGGTACTGAAATTTATTGAATTTATTTGTATGTATTATATTATTTTAGCCATTGAAAACTCCAAAGTATGTGAAGCCTTTGCCGAAATCCTCAGCCAAAAAGAGTATTATGGGGAGCTCATCTTTGACTGATTTGAGAAAGGTATTGTTTTCAGCGGTTCAAAGCCACTTTTCTCATTACTTTTAATTAATGAAAATTTTATTTTATGATTGCTATTAATTTACATAATTTTCAGATGCTCCCCGTGGACAATGAGATTACAAAACTTAAAGAAGAAATCGAAGACTTAAAAAGCAAACTGGAGAAATCTGCTGTAAGCTAATTTTTAAATATCATTTGGATTTTATCTTATTTCTGTGATATCTTTTTGTAGATTTTTCACTCAAACGTTGGCGACTGGGTCAGCATGATAGAGAAATCTGATGATGAGAGTTTGAAGTTCATCACAGAAGAATGGGCGAAATTGGCCGACTTTTCTGACATGAAGGGAGTAAAGGACCTTGAGCTAGAATTGGAGATGTCACAAAACAAGGTAGTCGAGATTAGATCTGAGGTTAATGCTCAGGCAGAGACGATTCAAAAACTCCAAGACGAGCTGTCTGGAGCTACTGAAAACTTCCAGAGGCTGGAGGCCTTTATGGAAATGGTCAACCAGGGAAATAACAACCTCCACAACACCATTGAAGAGCTGGAGGCTGAGAAGATCCAGTTGCAGAAACATCTGCTGCAAAAGTGCGATTTGATGGAAGAGTTGGCTGCTGCCGAAGAAACGTTGCGTAAAGAGTTAGCCCTTACAAAAGGCTACAGCAAGACTCTGGAGGAGAATTTCAACGTCCAGAGTCAAGAACTGCGAAGTGTGCAAATGCAAATTATTGCTTTGGAAGAACTTCTCGAGACAAAGAAGGACCTCGAATCCATCAATGAGAATTTGGAGGAGGAGCTGAAGAACTCAAAAGAGCAAAATTCTCTTTTGCAACTGAATTTGGCTTCGACAGAGAGCAGCCTTGAAATTGCAAAAGAAGAAAAGGTACAACTGGTGCAGCATTTGAAGAATGCCGACGAGGGTATTGCTGCCATAGAAAACCAACTACGGCTGAAAAATGAAGAGTTTGGCGCCAAAATCGAAGACGTATCAGCCAAAGCTCTATTCCTTGAGGGCCAAATGGAAGTTCTGCAGAATCAACTTAAACTCACCTTGGAAGAGAGAGATGGCTTAAAGAAGGAACTGGCGGAATCTCATGAGAAGATCAACAGTCTGCATGAAAAGCATCAGGAGACTTTGGTGGCTCTGTCTGAAGAAATGAAACTGAACCAACTTGGAGAAGAGAAAGTTGAGCAGTTGTTGATTTCTCAGCGAAATGGCTTGAGAGAACTAAATCAGGCACTTGAAGATAAACATACGATTCAAATTGAAATGATCGAGGTCCGAAAAGAACTGAAAGAGAACCAGGAAAATCTGAAGTTGTATATGGAGAGGGAGAAGAAAACTCAAGAGACTTTGATGGAGTCACATCGAGTCACCGTCATGGTGCGTGACAGGATCCTTGACTTGGAAGAGCGTCTTGAGAGAAACGCGCAAGACACTGACGAAATTCAAAGAAGAGCCGAATCTTTTGCTCATCACGTCACTGCCATCAATATGGAGAAGGACGGTCTTTGCGCTACACTGCAAGACAAAACTGACTACATAGAGAAGTTGTCTCTGAAACTGGACAATGAAGTCAAGGCGAAGGAGAAACTTCACCGCAAGTTGACTGGCACTAAAGCTATGCTGAAGAGTAATCAGGTAATTTATTTAATGCTTAATTAAACGTGAAATTAAAATTAAATTTGGTTAAAATTAAAAAAAAATGACATATTAAATTAGATTCTAATTATTGTATTAGTAATATATCACAAAGGAGTGGAAAAGGAAATTTAGCTCAATGTGATGTGTACTTGCTCGTCTTGTTATAAAAGTATTGATGATTAATTAAGAATTAAATATTATCATATTTGTTTCAGGAAAAGCTTTCGACGGTTGAAAATGATCTTCTGGTAATCAATGACAAATTGCAACAGAGTTTGGACAAGGAAGAAAAGCTGAAAGCTTCCAACAGTGACTTGAAGAAGCAGATTACCAATCTTGAAGAGAAGGTGACTTCCGTGAGTCGGGAAAAAGAGAAGAGCATCCAAGAACTTTTGAAGATCAATGAGATTCTGAGACGGGAAATCGAGGATGTCCAAAGCAGCCTGGAATCGATTCAGTTTTACAAGGAAAATATTCAGGTTGAAGTGGGGTCGGCTGTCAAACAAAATGAAGACCTGCAGACTGAGAATAAAAAGTTGTTAGCCGAGCTCAAAAAGACTGGCGAGGACTTGGTAATTGTACAAGAAGAGCTCCGAGGTGCCAAGGAACACCTGCAAGAGCACCTAACTGAGGGGAACAAAAATATTCAGGCACTCAACCAGCAACTTACAGAGGCTCAAGGTGAGGTTCTCTGTTTGAAAAAGGAAAGCATTGAAGCCAACCAAAGCATATTTGAATTGTGCCACAAACTTCTGGACACTGAAAAGCTTTTGCAAGACACCAAGTCCCAAAATGTTGAGAATTTGAGAAAAATAACAGAAATTTTGGAGATGAGAGAGGAATTCAAGGAATCAACGGCCATGGGTGACATTGAGAGAAGACTGATTGTACTGAACAAGTACATCGAGGAACTGGAAGATGAATTTGCTGAAAGTGTGCTCTTGAAGATGAATTGCGAGGAACTTGTCGAAGAGGAAAGAAGAAAAGCCACAGCTCTGAGGGACCAGGCCTTTGATGCCAAGCAAGAGAAAGAGGACATCCAGATGTGCTACGAGGCCGTTCAGAGGAAGCTGGAAGCCATGGAAGTGGAGAAGCAGAATTTGGAGGACGAGTTTGCTAAGGCAGAGAAGGAGTGGGACGAGCGCGAGTTGAAGCTGATGACGGACATCAAACTTCTTAGCGAAGAGGCTAAAGAGGCCGAGGATAAGGAAGTCCAACATGAGGAGGAAGTCATGCAGTTAAAGGAGGAGGTTCGTTTGCTGAAAGAAGAGGCGCAGTGGGAGGAAGAGAAGCAACTCAAGCTGGAGGAGGAGCTTAACGAGTTGATGGCCGAGAAAGAGAAGTGCATCGACAAGTGCGCCCGAATGGACTGCGAAATTCAAGAGTTGAAACGCAGAGAGGAGGAGGCCAAGTTGGGAGTTGAGAAGAGCTGGGAGAAAGTCAAGGAAGTGGCGGAAATGCTCGAGGCGGTCAAATTGGAAATGAAGGAGTTTAGGGAGATTTTCTCTAACCAAGATGAAGAAATCACTAAGCTTGAAGACATCATTGTTGAAAAGGAAAAGGAGGTGGCCAAGCTGAAGCAGGAGAAGGAAGAGCAGATCCGTCTGCTGGAAGGTCGCCTTCAGGACCAGGACGCAGCTATGAAAAGACTGTTGAATGAGGTGGAGTCGAGAGTCGAGGCAGCGGACGAAATGGAAGATTTGCTGCAGAGGAAGATTGCTGAGTTGACACGCAGCAAAGAGCAGATCGGCAAACTGGAAGTCCACAGCCAGAGTTTGTTGGACAAAACAATCGTTTTGGAGGAAAAGGAAATAAAGGCACTGGCCGAGTTGAAGAAGGCTCAGGAGGAAGTTAAGCTGGCCAACAAGACGTTGGAGAATCAGATGCTGGAATTCTCTTCAAGGTGATTTATCATTAATTTAAAATGCAACATCAAATTAAAAATTCCTAATTCAAGCAATTTTTAAAATAAGCAAATTTTTTTTATGAATTTTCATAATTTGTCTGTAACTTACATTTATGGCTAATGTTCTCAGGTGGAGTGCCGTGGAAGATAGCATAATGAACTATGAGTCTGTCGAGGGCCGCAACAAGGAACTGAGTGCCAATGACAGTTGCCTTCGCTCTCAGCTCTCAATCCACGAAAGTGAGAACCACAGACTCCGTTTGGCCAACAAAGAGATGCGTGAGCGACTTTTGGACCTAGAGAAGGTGGAGGCAAAATCCAGTGGCCACCAAAACCACCTCCAGAAACTGAGCTATATGCAGAACCTCAAGGAAGTAGTTTTCAAGCATGAGGCGGTAAAAAATTGCATTTAAATCAAGAAACTTAAGATATTAATGAGTTTTTATTTTAGAATGAGGAGGAAATGCACGCTCGTCTTGTGGATAGCGAGTGTCGCGTAGCCCAACTCGAGTCTGAACTGCAGAAACATGGTATCAGTGTGGCTCTGAGCAAGTCGATGGTTGTCGAGGGTATTGCTTCCTCAGCAAAGAAGAGGCACGGCAAAGAGAACAGATCTTTGATGGCCTCACTGAGCCGCACTGCTCACTCTCTTCTCTCCACCTCAACTCCGATGCACAGGAAATCTCCACTCCAGCCCAAGAACAACTGAACACAATTCACTACGACTTTTTTGACGTTGAGTTACATCTTTTTACACTTTACTACAACCATTGATCTGACTTTTGTAAAATATTCACCTCCTATTTTTGAATCATAAAAAAATACGCACTATGGTGTGTCTGACTTAAAATTAAATTTGTATTTTTTAACAACCACTTAAATCATTGAAATTAATTGTCTATTTAAGAAATTATCAGCTACATTATTAAGGGCAACCCTTTACTGCCACAGTAAGCTGAAGATGGTGAGGGGAGGCATTCCTGGATCAGCGCCTTTCTTGAATCCTATCAAAAATTTTATTAAACGTATTATATTAATTGAAAAGTCCCCTTTTAACATACCTAAGTAAAGGACAGTGGGAATGAAACCCCAGTGGAAAATTGTTCTTGTGAGGGCAGTCACTTTGGCGAGTCGCTGTTTCGTTCCAGTTTCCATCTCGTTTTCTAAGGCAAAAAATGCAAAATTTTTTAACTATCGTAAAAAATTATCACAAGACAAAAAGATATACCTGGTATTCCAAAATAATTTGGCGATGCAGCACTAGAAGCAGACAAAAACAACAAGCATGCACACTCAACACTGACCACGAGTTTTTAGATTGTTGTTTGTGGAAAGGGGGTGTGTCTTTTCAAAAAAAAAATTGCACTAGCGTTTTAGCCAACATGCTAAAGATAGTATAATTTATGAAATATTAAAAATTTGGTTTAAAAAATGATCTAAAATTCTCAAAGATTTAAGTTTAAGCTCAAAAATTTAATTATTAACTCAAAGAACCTATCTGTTTTTATTTAAAATACAAGTTTAAGCTTTTCGCTAACTTTTATAAGGTTGTCAACACTTGAAAATTGTGCATAAATTTGCAGTTTGCAGCTGGCATTTCCAAATTTTTACAATCACATGCTGATTGCATAATACATACGCAAAGATTTTTTGATTTTTTAAAATTTCAGGTACTGAAAGTGCTCTTCGATGTATTTATTATATCACCAATAGTAAGGTAATTAAACCGCAGTTACAAAAAATTATTTTAGAGCGTGCACTATAATTTGTTAGAAGTTTGAAAGCATTTTTGTTTGGAAAGAAACAAATTTTTAACAATCAAATTGATTATTTTCAGGCTTTCACAACTATAAGGGCTTAAAAATGCTGCGAGTCTTACTACGAAGTGGCTACGGCCTGACGAGAGGAACCAACAATTCAACCTCCATCCTTTGGAGAGGAGCGTCCAGGCCGCTGCACCACCACCGTGCAGCACTTGTCGCCCAAAACCGGCGTTTTGTCCAACACAGACAAGGTCCAATCTCTGGCTGCTTTTTGCTATCGAGGTCATTTTGCTCAAAACCTCCAAGTGATGACGGAAGCGCACCTGCCCAAACCGAAGAGTCTGCGGTCGAAGATAAAAACTACCCTTCTCATCATTCGCTGCCCACAACGGTGACTGTGCCTGAGGTCTGGCCGCATGTGCCTGTCATTGCTGTCAGCAGGAACCCGGTTTTCCCTAGGTTCATCAAAATGATAGAGGTTTTAATTAACCTAGATATATGGTAGAATTATCTTCAATAATATTTCAATCATTTGTAGATTTCCAACCCGCATTTAATGAATTTAATTCGACGTCACGTTAAGCTCAACCATCCGTACGCTGGTGTTTTCTTAAAAAAGAATGAAGAGTAAGTTAGGAATAGAAATGTAAGCATTTAATAAAAGTTTGAACTGATTGTTTAATTTTGCAGTAATGAGTCCGACGTTGTTGAGAAATTGACAGATTTGCACAAAGTAGGAACGTTTGTCCAGATTCATGAAATGCAGGACATGGGAGACAAACTGCGCTTGGTTGTCATGGCCCATAGACGAATCAGAATTTTAGACCAAATTATGGAAGACATCATGGAATTGGAGGAACCAGGTAAAATTAAATTATTTCTTTCAAACCTCACCCCGACACGGTACCATTAGGAGAACTCAAGCTTGAATTTCCTCTTCTTAAAACTTCCATGAATGTAGGAACTGACAACGTTGGTGACAAAAGGAGACGGAGGAGGAAGAAAAGGAGGAACGGAGACGAAGTGGAGAGCGCAACAGAAACGCCGGAAAGCACCACCACCGCCGCCACCTCTGCACAGGAACAGCCAAAACTAGAGTAAGTTTTTTGTTTCAGAATTTTTTAATACATAGAAATTCAAATAATTTTCCAATTCAGAATAGTGGAAACTCCTCAGCCGGTCCTGATAGTGGAAGTTGAAAATGTTGTGCATGAGAAGTTCAAACAAACGGAGGAAGTCAAAGTAAATTTTAATATTAAAGAAATCAATTTTTTTAATCAAAATAATTATATTTCAGGCTCTTACACAAGAAGTAATAAAGACCATTCGTGATATAATCAACATGAACCCACTTTATCGAGAGTCGCTGCAGCAAATGCTGCACCAGGGTCAGAGAGTTGTTGACAACCCCGTGTATTTGTCTGATTTGGGAGCTTCATTAACTGGAGCTGAACCTGCAGAGTTGCAAGCTGTGCTCGAGGAGATGGATGTAATATTTTTATAATCCTCATTTTCATTAGTAAATAATTCATTTTCAAATCCCAGATTCCGAAAAGGCTGCTTCTCTCCCTGTCGTTGCTAAAAAAGGAGTACGAGCTTAGCAAACTGCAGCAGAAAATTGGCAAAGAAGTGGAAGAAAAGGTGAAGCAGCAACACCGGAAATACATTCTGCAGGAGCAGCTTAAAGTCATTAAAAAGGAGCTGGGCTTGGAAAAGGATGATAAAGACGCCGTGGAGGAGAAATTCCGGGAGCGAATTAAAGAAAAGATTGTGCCAAAAGCTGTCATGGATGTTATCGAAGAGGAGCTCAGCAAACTAGGGTTCCTGGAAAGTCACTCGTCTGAGTTTAAGTACAGTATTCAATAATGTTGCATGTTCCTTTTCATTAAATATTACAAAATTAGCGTGACTCGCAATTATTTGGACTGGTTGACCACCCTACCCTGGGGAGTGACCAGCACTGAAACACTGGAACTTGATTCGGCCTCAAAAATTTTGGACGAAGATCATTATGGCATGGAGGATGTAAAGAAAAGGATTCTTGGTAATTTTGGGCAATTAAACAATCAATAGCAAACATGAAATTTTAAATTATAGAATTCATTGCTGTCAGTCAGTTGAAGGGTTCAACCCAGGGAAAGATTTTGTGCTTCTATGGCCCTCCTGGTGTTGGAAAAACGAGCATTGCCAAATCCATTGCCAGAGCCCTCAACAGAGAAGTAAAAAAAAAAACAATATGCAACTCTTTTCAATTTTTAATAAAAAATATCATAGTATTTTAGATTTAGCGTTGGTGGGATGACGGACGTTGCAGAAATCAAGGGCCACAGACGCACTTACGTTGGAGCCATGCCTGGCAAAATGATTCAATGCCTCAAGAAAACCAAGACTGAAAACCCACTTGTTCTGATTGACGAGGTGGACAAAATTGGAAGGTGCCTTCTTTATTAAAACCAAAATCAGAATTTTTTTAAGTGAAAAATAAAACAGGGGCTATCAAGGAGATCCATCATCTGCCTTGCTTGAGCTGCTCGATCCTGAACAAAATGCCAACTTCTTGGATCACTACTTGGATGTACCAGTTGACCTTTCAAAGGTACATATTTAAGCATTTTTTAAAGAAAGAATCATTTGAATGTGTCCTTCTCTAGGTCCTGTTCATTTGCACAGCCAACGTCCTTGACACAATTCCTGAGCCTTTGAGAGACCGAATGGAAATGATCGACGTTTCTGGCTATGTTGCAGAGGAAAAGGTTGCTATTGCAAAACAATATTTAATTCCCCAGGCACGGAAAGATTGCGGTCTTAGCGAACAACAGGTGAATTCTCAATCAAAGAATTTAAACCGTATCTTATAATAAACAAATTTCAGATTTATATTGAAGAACCTGCCCTGCAACGACTAATTAAAATGTACTGCCGGGAAAGTGGAGTTCGAAACCTTCAAAAACATGTTGAAAAAGTAAATAATGTTTGTATTTTTTAATTGGAATACTTCACAAACAAGTATCAAATTTCAGATTGTCAGGAAAGTTGCATTTAAATTAGTCAAGAAAGAGGCTGAGGAGTTCAAAATAACTACGGATAATTTGACGGACTTTGTCGGAAAGCCCGTTTTCACCCACGACAGGATGTATGAAGTTACACCACCAGGAGTTGTCATGGGTCTGGCGTGGACAGCTATGGGCGGCTCGACATTATACATTGAGACGGCCTTGAGAGTTCCACGAACTGTCTCAGACAGGGAAAAGGAAAGTGACGGCAGCTTGGAGTTGACAGGACACCTGGGCGACGTCATGAAGGAATCGGCCAGAATCGCAATGACTGTGGCGCGAAACTTTTTAGCCAAACACCAACCCAAAAACGACTTTTTGAAAACAAACCACATCCATCTGCACGTGCCGGAGGTAAAACTCTGAAGTAACTAAAATGCCTAACTAATTAATTTAATCATAGGGAGCAACTCCGAAGGACGGCCCAAGTGCAGGTTGCACCATAGTCACGGCATTGCTGTCCCTTGCAGAGAACAGGCCCATTCGACAAGATTTGGCGATGACAGGTGAAGTTTCCTTGACTGGTCAAGTGTTGCCTGTCGGAGGCATCAAGGAAAAAACAATTGCGGCCAAGAGAGTCGGTGTCAAGTGCATCATAATTCCAGAAGAGAACAAGAAAGACTTTGACGATCTTCCTAAGTTCATTACGGAAGGGCTTGAAGTCCACTTTGTTAGCCACTATTCAGATGTCTACGATATTGTGTTTCCCGAGAGTTGAAGAATTTAGACGCACGTGATTAAAAGAGCGCAAACTGTGGGCGGAAATTTAATTTTTGTTACTGCAAATTTCCTGCAAATAAAATTTGGCTCTTGTTAGCCGCTTGAGGACAGAATCCTTTCCTAGAATATTCATCACTTCAGCCACCCCTGGTCCTTCCTAAAATTACCAAATTTTAAATTGTTATCAAATTATTTTTTTATCACCCCCACCTTCAATCCGCTTAATGCCATTCTTAGAATTTTCATTAAGAGAACAAATTTAACTCCATTATTGTCAGCTATTCGCCTCAGACTAGACTTCAACGCTTCGAGTTCAAAATCATTTTCTTGCTGCAGTTCCCTTATAACTAGATCAAGTTTCTCTGAAAAATCAACAAAATAATACCAAAGTCAAGCCGGATTAAAGTAGTACCTGGATCTATTTTTGAGTCAACTAGCTGTTCTTTAGACGGAACATTCCAAAGAAATGCCAAATTAGGTTTCACCAAATCATTTAAAGCGTGAATCCGATCTTGACTCCACAGAACAACTTTCCTCACATGCTCCTTGCTCAAATCCAATTCCCTGCAAAATTTGCATTAAACTCTATAAAAAAAATTAATAAAATATTACTTAATATTGGGGAAACTATTTTCCACCATTTTAATCACAGACGCAATCATTTCATTCAGGACTTCTTCTTTGAGAACCATTTGTTGCAAAGTCGTCCTATTATACTCGTCCAATCTATCAGTAAGTTTGCAGGAACTCTTATGCACCAAATTAAGATCAAACTTAAAAAAAATATATAATAGATATAATATTTTAGTCAACCATAAAAAATATAATCTCACATTATCCTTCAGTTGGTCCATGGAATAGATTTGATCTAGATCCATATTTTTGAACCCGCCTCCTGCTTTACTGACGTAGTTGATCAATGCTAAAGGAAATATTCCCATCCCTTCGTAATTCCGGATCTGAATGTCCCCTTGTCGCTTTGAAAGTTTTGATCCGTCAGCGTTCATAATCAATGGTAAGTGTCCATACTGAGGAGCGTCCCAGCCAAATGCTCTAAAAATTTTGATTTGAAAATAAAATAATTTGAGGTAAAAATTAAATAATTACTTGTACAAAAGGAGATGTTTAGGTGTTGATATGTGCCACTCAACCCCTCGTAGAACATGGGTCACCACCATCATGTGGTCGTCCACCACATTAGCAAGGTGGTAGGTGGGGAAGCCGTCTTGCTTGAGAATGACAAGGTCGCCTTCGTTTTCACAGGGTTGGTAGTTGAGATCATCCCGTATCAAATCATAAGTTGGCTCTGTCAAAGGGGACAGCTGCAAAAATTTCCAAATAAAACAGATTCGCATTGAAAAATTGAAATCAAAACCTTAAATCGAATGCAGTGTGGATGACCTGAGTTTATTTTTTGTTGGGCTTCTTCTTTCGTGAGCGACCTGCACTTATTGTCGTATTTTGGGATTTCTCTCATTCTGATCGCCTCTTTCCTCAGCAGATCCAACCTCTTTTCTGAACAAAAGCACGGATAGGCAAACCCGGAGTCCACCAAAATCTGGGCTTGGTTTTTGTATAGGTGGACTCGTTCTGACTGAATGTAGGGTCCATACGACCCTCCGGCGGTGGGGCCCTCGTCTGGACTCAATCCGGCCCATCGAAGGTCCCGTTCGAGCTGCTCAATGGCGCCAGGCACTGTTCTTGACTGGTCGGTGTCCTCGATTCGCAGAACGAATTGGCCACCGTGGGATTTGGCAAAGAGGAAATTATATAAGGCTGTTCGGAGGCCACCCAAGTGAAGATATCCTAGAAAAATATATACATATTTTTTAAAACTAACGGAATTTAAATCAAAATAAATAAAAATTGAACTAATTTATCAAAAATAAAAAATAAATAAATTTTTATAATTATATGCATACCTGTGGGACTCGGTGCAAACCGAACTCTCACTAGTTTGTTTCTAGGAACTGACTTCACGGGCTCGATGAATGTAGCAAAATTCCGAATCTTAGGGAATCTCATTTTGTGATTTATCATACTGAAAAGAAAATTTGAAAAATTGTACGATTGTAAACTGTAAAATGTACGTTTCAAAAAACAAAAAAAGCATAATTATATTCATTACCAATGCAGAGTTCAGAAAAATGATCCGGATAATTGTTTACAGAGGTGTCTTAACTCAAATCAAAACAAAGAATATAAATTTTAATTAAAAATCTTATGGAAATCAGTGTTTTGAATCAACGCCCCTCGCCCCTCTCCTCTCCGGCCGGTGCGATCGACATGCCATCTATAGGCAGAGGTCGCTTTTCTAAATTCTAAACATTCTCAAGCTTTTCAAGCATGGACGAATTGAATGTTTATAAACACAAACCTTGTTGATATTGACAGTTGACACTGTGTAACATACCATCAGACGGGCTGTAAAAACTGAATAAACTGCATCATTTTCTCTTCCACTTGATAATTTCAAGTTATAACGCAATGGACACGGACAAAAACTTGTGCACCCTGTAAGTCCAAACTATTCATACACATTTTTTTTAAAAAATATTTAAGTGTCATGTTCTTTAAAAAATTTCAGGTGTGGTTCCGTGCCAGGGAAATACGTGTGCCCAAGATGCAACGCTTTTTACTGCAGTCTAGACTGCTACAGAAGCGAAAAACATGCACAATGCTCGGAACAATTCTACAAAGAGTGCATCCAGGAGGAGATGGCTGTTGACGCTGACCCTGCAGATGCAAAGTTTGTCCATATTAAATAAGAAAAATTATATTTTTAAAATTTTTTTTATCTGCAGGTCGATGCAGGAGATTTTGTGTAGGCTGCAGGAGCACGAAAGTCGAGGAATAGAAACTGGTCTTCTGGCGAAGGACAAAGAAGAGGATGAGAGTGAGGCGGACTCTGACGATTTGCAATCTGAACCAGACGACCTGGCCTCGAGACTAGCTGGAATCGATTTGAATGATCCAGACTCAATTTGGCAAAAACTTTCAGAAGAGGAAAAAGCTGAATTTCAAAATCTTGTCTCGTCAGGCGATGCCACAAAAATTGTTCCAACCTGGGATCCCTGGTGGAATTACAAGTATAATTATCAAAAGTTTTAATTCAACCTGAATTAATAATTTGTTATCATGAAGGGCTGCTCTGGTGCAGGAAGTGGAAAGCTCTGACAAGTTCAAAAAACACTGTCCTCGAATCAATCAAAAAATCCCAGCGTTGAAAGATGTTTCGGTAAAAAAAATAGCCTGTAAAGTTCAAACTTATCTTTAATCACATAATTGTAGAAAGTGAATCCAGCTGTTGCATTTGGAATCGCCAACGTGATTTACTCTTACGCCACCATCACACGATACTTCCAAGGTGACCATCTAGAGTCGGACCTTGTCAAGGAGGCAGCCGACCACTTAATGGACCTCAGCGCCAGTTTAAGTAAAGGGGAAAATTTTGTTGATCAAGAGAATGCAATCACCTCTGCCAAAATTCAATCTATTGAAGTAAGTCTGAGATTTAAAAGCTTCAAAATTTACACTAATCTTCTTTTTAGATTTTGGGATCAACTCAGGATGACGAGAGTCTCGTATTAGACGATGTGCAAAAAATAATGGAAGGCCCTAGTTCCGAGGAGCAATCTTTTTATTTGCTGGCTGCTTTGTCTGACTGTTTATCCTTATTGAAATCAGCCTCTTGCAAAGAGAAGGGTAAATTTAATATTAGGGAGTGATTAAAATACTAAATAAAATTTTACAATAGGTGATAGTCTTGCAGCTGCTGGTGAGTTTAGTAAGCGGTTTCCAGACAGCAAGGTTCGAGAAGCAAAGTGGTCCAAGAAACAGCTCATTCTGGCCATTAAAAAATTGGAGTTCTACATATCTTGGGCCAAAACTAAATCAGGGCAGCATTAATTATGCATTTTTTATATACAATAAATGAAACCAAACATATATCTCGTTGCATTTTGCTTTATTTTACTCATCCATAGTCACTATAATTACTGCTTTTTCTCTAACACACATTCATGTTTTTAGGACATCTTCATTGGCATATATTCGTAATTTTGTCAAGACCCAAGATTGGTGCACATTATTGCAGATTAAAAGGTTATAAACATCAATGAAGGTGGGGGCAGGAAAGAGGTCCTGGGGGAAATGAAGGGTGAGATCAACAAAGGATTATTTTTCACCTCAAAATTCCAATCTCAACTTGCGCTAACAACAAACGTACATCCAAGCTCTGGCTATGCTTGAACCAGAAAGAAGACATTTCCATCAATTTTTAGTGTTGCTGCAGTTAAACACATTCAATCAGCCAATCAATATTCAGCAATAAATAGGAAATCAGACCCTACAAGAATGATCAAAGGAACACTGAATTAAAGCGAATGAGACAATGACATCATTTTTAGTTTTTGTTTTTGCCCGTCGATGACGCCAAGAACAAACTCGTTGGCCAGCGACGGGTGAAATTAAGAATTAAAATGCTGCAGAAAATAATATAATAAAAAATGGGCTAATATTAAAGGACATGACATTGCTTGGATGCGTTCGAGACAAAGTCGTCCCGACAAGGCTTCATCAAAGCGACAATTCATCATCTTCGGGAGGTGCCAACAACTTCAGGATGCTTTTCTAATTACCAAATTTAATTAAGACTTCAAGTCAAAGGTTTCAAATTCTAGCAATTTGTTTCGGAAAACCTTAAATATACAATTTCCACGCAGGAGGTTTGGAAAAGTGTGACATGCAAAAGAGCTGAATTTGAAACTTTTGTGGGTAATCCTGAAATGGCACTAACAATGATGATTGAAATTTACAAAGCATGTGATTTAATACTTTCATTTTTCACCTTCACCTTGAGTTACGGTTTTTTTTCTTCTTAGATTTCTTAATTAAGCTTTACACTTGAGTGACAAAGTGTTCTGCACATTATACCACTGGCGATAGTGTCCTTTTAGAAAGAGGAAATCATAATTTGTACTTTTTATGTGGAAATTAAAACAAAAGCAGGAAATAGGAATGTACGCTGAAACGCTTTCAGCCACACGCAGCACCTCTCCCGCCACTCAGACAATTACGAGGGTGCGCTTTTGGGGGTTGCGGCGCCATTGGGAGAAGCAGCCTCGCCTGACGGAGGCGGCAACCTCGGAGCAGCCACCACGGGCGCTGGTGAGCTCACCATCATCACGGGCTTGACAAGTTGTCCGCTCAGGTAGGCCTGCGCCGGCAGCACTTGGTGCTTCAGCAGGGGGCCACTCACCACTTGAAATGGCGGCTGTGCAACATTTTCATTTATTTTAATTTAAAAAAAAAACATCCACTATACACTTAAATTATTTATTACTGACTAAATTTTGACATGGGAATGTTTTAAATCTGAGACTCGATGAAACAATTGATTATGGACATAAGAGAGCAGTTTTTTTGTTTTGTGAGCTCAGTCTCATCTAAATTATTGTTTAAAGTTGTATTTCGTACCTTGCCGGTGGTCAGAATGTGGACTCCGGACGGGTGGCTGCCGGGCGCAACCATGGTGACGGGCGCTGCAACCAGCGGTGCAAGAGTGGAAATGTGAGCTGCACCTGACGCAGTCACAACATGGGTGATTCCTACAGAGAAATCAAAAGCTTAATTTTCCAATTAATTATCAAATTGATAGCAACACAAGAAAACAAAACGATATGAAGTTTATCAATGCATAAGCTTTGATTGGATTAAATTAATTTGAGTAATAATTTTACCTGTAGCAGGTGAAAGATGATGGGTTACTGTGTGGGGTATGCCCATGGTTGCAGGGGCACCTGACGGCACCGAAGAGAGCACTGTCGTAGAATTTTGTCCTGAAATTCGGAAAAATTAACTTTTACTTGAAAAACGGTCCAATCCAAAATTTACCTTGGGGCAGTGTGTGTCTGTGGAGGGCAGAGGCATGGCTGATGACGCCTCCGTTGAGAATTGGGGGCGCCGAGGAGTTGGTCAGGTGCCCTTTGCTGGCACTCGAAGAGAGGTTGATGGGTTTGCTCGAAAGGTTGCTCCGTACGGCCGAACCCAGTAAAGCATTTTGGGACGCAGAACTGGAAATTACATTGATCTCCGCACCCCCAGGTAACCTCGAAGACTCAGTTGATGCTATGAAGGTGCCTAGTTTGGCTTTCGGGGTTTCTTCTCTGCTTACTATAAAATTAAAATAAAGTCAGTATATAAAAACATGATTTTTTTTTTTAATTTGCCTAACATTCCATTTAGGAAATATTAATTAAAAGAAATTTACAGGAAAATTGCACCTCGAATTAAATTATTCTAATAGAATTTTAAATATCATTTATTCTTTAATTTTTTTAATAGTTCACATTTTTTTAAAAAATTAGAATACGAATTTCTTACTAAAAAAATTTCTACCTGGAGTCCTCTGGTCATGAGATGGAGCTGTGGTGAGCATCCGAAGCCCGCTGGGTGCTGCTAGGAGTTGAATTGCAGGCCCGACCAGGGTCGTTGACCCCGAGGTGCTGATCAAACCCGAGGGGGAAGACACGAGTTGCACATGCGACGGCCGAGTTATGTGCTCGCCGAATTGCTGAACAAAAGATTTATTTCTTCAATGCCAACTCCACGTTGCATCAGTTTGAATGGAAACTCACCTTGCTGGAGACCTGTGACAAGTGAATGGGGGTGGCGTGTGGGGGGAGGTGGAGTTTTGTGCCTTGACTCTGAGGAGGCGCAGCCAGCTCGGTGCTCGGAGGGGTGGATTTGCGCAGGACGTCGCCCAGAGTGAGCACCCCCAAGCGACCGGGGTGCTCGACCACTGCCGAAGGACGAAGCGAGTTGGGGTTTGGGGTTGGAGGGGCGGAGGTCTGCGTCGGAGAGTTGTCACCCTCGCGCGAAGACCCGGGCCTTGAATTTCCGGCCGAGAGATCTTCCACGTCGCTCAAGTGGCCGCGCTCTGCAAAGTACAACAGGTCTCAGGGTCTCCAAGGGGTACCAACAAAACATCAAAAGCAGGGGGTTGGGGGTGAAAGGGAGGTCTAAAGAGAGGAACATTCACAAGTTTGAAATTGAAAAGTGTCACTGATAGGTTAGTCATAGCCATGCATTTACTCTCCAAGGATAAAAAGAGTGAAAATAATTTTGTCTAAAATATTAACCTCTGAACTTATTTGCAATTTGATTTAGTTCGGGAGGGGCTGCGTCAAAGGGGTGTATTATTTTACCCCTGGTGACGAGCAAGCGAAATTGATGAGGAAAGGGGTGGTACCTGTCTTACCGGAGGCGGTCGAGGTGGAGGCCGAGTGGGGTGGCGACAAGGGTTTCCGAAGACTTTCATCTTCCTCCTCGAACTCAAAGTCGTCGTCCGAGTCAAAGGGCGGCGGCTTTGAGAGCGATCCTGAGCCCAGGTGCACCTGAGACGCTTTCAGGGCCGACGGGGCGGGGACGTCCGGCAATAGGGCTGCGAAGTCCACCGAGTCGTACTGAGAGCTGATCTCCTTTTTCAGGGACGATAGTCGCTGCTGGAAAGAAATCTTCTCGCGCGCCAACCGTTCCATTTCATGCTCGTAATCGCGCTCTTTCCTCTTCAGCGTCTGAAAAGACCATGGGATTTCCAGGTTAAACATAAATTTATACTTCGAATTTAATTTAAAATTGAAGAAATTTCATATTCATTTTAATTATATGGTTAAAATCCACATAAATTGCCTAAAAACTAAATTGCTGAAAGAAAACGATATACATATATAAATAATTTTCCTTGAAAACCCACTAGGATAATGTTTTTTTTTTTTTGCAAACTGGAGCATGAGTTTGTGCCAGAAAAATTTTAGTTATAACAAAATTGGAAATTTTTGAGCCACTAAAAGTCGAAGCTTTTCATAATTGTAGTTAATTTTTGAAATTTATTTCCAGAACAATATCTTCGGGCGAAGTTCGGCGGTTTTATTTTGGCTGCAAAAGTCATAGGTCGGCGCGGCAAGATTGGAACGATCGGTGGCCTCACGAGTCAAGGTGGCCGGTCAAGAGAGGCGAAAGAAAATTGGCGTGCCAAAGCAAAGGACGGACCTCTTTTTAAAATAGCGAGGCTGCCTCCTCGTTGCCGCGGATGGTCAGTGGGAGGAGGAGGAGGGGAGAGGGCGGGCGGATCGCAACCACGTGCTCTCGGCACACGAGGCCTCGCACGCTCCATATATTTATGTTCCCCTCTCGGCTGTCGTCTGCACCGCCACTCAAACAAGCTCGTTCGCCAGCCCCGCCGACATTGGTGCACAATGTGTCCGTCTACTTTGCACACTTAATTCTATTGCAAAATATATATAAAGCGGCCGGCACACGTCCCAGCACGCTCGAAGCCCGAATTCATGTAGATGAACCGCAGCCAAATTCGCAAATCACAAAGTACACAAGCGTTCCCCTCCCTGCGAACGAGAGCAGTCCCTTTTACTTTTACGCTTTGGTAGTAATTTTTTTTGTGGGTGGGCAATCAGTGTCAACATGGGCCAAGGTTACTCAATGTCACTTTGGCGAAACGAAAACGTGCGTCTGTCGGACGGATGATTTTTTTACTCGTAACGCGCGATAAGATAACAGGGCCGAGTTGAGAATCGGCGCGTTTTTTTTTTCGAATTAGGTGGCGTCTCCCTACTTCAAGTTGACCTTCAAGTACCACGCAAATAAATTTGCAGGCTATTTCCAAGCGAGGCCTCTGTTGCGAATATTTTAGCATTTTTTTTTTTATGTACGCGTCGCCCCTTCTGCTCGGGCTTCTTTTTTTCCACTCGGCTCGGAGAAAGAGAGATGGGCGGGCGTTCTCTCTTCTCTCTTTCGCAGCCAAAACACTGCTCGCTGGCGTTGCAAAATTTGTTTGCGCCGCGATTATCAGGCCAACGAGTCCTGCTAATGGGCGTCCGACACGTCCAAAATTAGCACCGAGATTGAAAATAAAAATCTGATCGTTTTGATATTTTATTTTTACACGGAGCCAAGTGGAAAAGCAAATCCATGGAGACCGAGCTTCCGGGAGACGAGACCGTTGGCGAAACCGCAATTTGATATTCGGCGCGACCACTTTCTTTATTCGCACTGAAGTCGAGCCAAGAAAGAAGCCTCGAGAACAACACCGCCGCGATGCCTGCACCCGATCAGCCTTGAATTCTTTCTTCAACGCGTACATAGTCGCACACATTGAGTGTGGTTTTGAAAAATAAATTTGTCAAGGGAATAATAATAATGACGATTTACAAAAAAAGTTCATTTTGGCTATAATTCAATTTTTTTCTAATGTTTAACGTTAATAGTGAAAAGCTCATTGAGATAAAATTAAATTATTTCAGAGTCAATCTTTAAATTTATAAGTGAGGAGAATTTGAATAAATCTAATAAAAAAACTACTTTCTAATGAATTTGGACATATTTATGGAAATTTGAACCAAGCCATTTATTTTTATCTGGAAACATCGATACGTGACGAAAGCATTAGAAACTTGTTTTTTTTTTTAAATGTAAAAAAGGAGCTGGTTTGTTTTGAATCTTTTTTTGCACAATATATAAATCGTGGCAAAGAAATGAAAAATAGGCCGTCGCCGCCGTGAAAGGAAACTGCGCAGATTGTTATGCAAAATTTTGGTTCGAGTTGAATGCCATCGGCGGCGGCAATCAAAACCAGATCGGTCCAGATGAGGCTTAACTTTGACCCCGGGCCGCGCGCGAGAGAGGCTTGCGTGCGAAGAAGTCTATTTTGGCAGCGTGGGGAAAATGGCGACAGCGCGAGTAGTGGGCGAACGAACGAGAACCCCGAACCTAAATAAACAGCACGGTCTCTCTACTCCACCTCGAAACTCTCGCCCGTCCACGTGCTCTGCTCACCCAAGGCTGGTGACGTCACCACCCACGACACGTGCTCCCTCAGACGACAACAGCCTCTTATCAGGCGGCCCCAAACAAATTCCGGACACGCCCAAACATTGTTTCGCAAAAATATTACTATATTTTTTATAGCATTTTAATTTAATTTTTTTTTTACCTGGATGTAGCGGATGGCCGAGTGGAGAACGGTGAGGTTGGACGGTTTTTTGTCGTCGTGGCCGCACGGGGGTAGCTGTCGCCGCAGCAGCTCGAAGCACTCCTTCAAATGGGCCCGCCGATTCTTCTCCAGCTTATTGTGCACTTCCCGAGTCCCAGCACTGTGGTTCAAAAAAAATAAAAATAAAATCAATGAGATACAATTTGAAATTATAAAGGTAAAAGAAAATTTTAATTAATTCAACTTTAAGTAGGAAACAGAGCAGTACAGTTGGGGGATTAAATTTATTTTCACCCATAAAATTAGTAAACAAAAGGCCACGCCAAAATAAGATCCGGAAACAAAGGACTACAAAATAAAAACACGTTTTCAACCAACGCGACCAATAAAATAATAAATAATGCCTTTTTGTTCAATTGCCACTTCATTCAAACGAGATTCAAAAGAACGTGAACAGTGAACTGGAAGTTTTTGTAGCAATAATTATACTCTGTACATCTCGAAGCTGTGACAGAGAAAGCCATACAAACAAAAAAATCTGATATTTCTTGCTATGGTAACCGTTTTAATGATCAAATGAGAGACTTGAAGAATTGTAGTTATACCCTGATTGTGAGTAGAGGTGCTAGAAATAAATAATTGTAGATAAGTTCACCGTAATTCAGATTGTATTAAAAGATATTAAAAAGCATTTCTAATTCACTCAATTTAATGTTGAAACCCAAATTAAAATTAAAAATGTGCAGAAAAAATGCATATTTTAAAAGAAGCAAAGATTTTGGTGCATCATTTATCTCTTTTTCGCCCAACTAATCAATTAATTTGTATGTTTCAACTTGCCTTTTGAGCTCCTGTGGAGAGACGTTTCCATTGCTGTTGGCGCTGGAGGGTGAGTTTGGCACCGCGCTCGACGGGGTCTGCGCGGAGGGTGGCGAGGCGGAGAGGGGCGCCGCCGTCGAAAGGGTGAGCGGCACATTCTTGACCTTGATGTAGGCGTCGGAGGCGGGGGCGGCACTGCCCCCGTTGGAGGCGGGCGAGGGGGCGGTGAGCCTTGCGGCCAGGTACGAACCGTCTGGGTGGTAGTAGGGGGGGCTGGAGGGGGGCGCCGCCTTGCCCACAGGCGAGGAGCCCACCCCGTTGACCTTGGCGGCGTGGACAGGGGTGTTGTGAGGCGCTGGGGGCGGCGGTGGAGGCAGTGACACTCTTGGCGGCGACGACGAAGCGGGCGGCGAGCCAGAGTTTTGCAGCGCTGTGAAAGTCTTATAGTCTTTTGGAACTTCGCCTGCAACAAATTCCAAAAAAAAAACCATTAAAATTTTGATGAATTTAAAAACGGTTAAAATTTTTTTTTACAATCTCCTGAAGAATATTCGAAGTTGCGTTTTTTTTTTATTTATATTATAATGTAGCTTGGAAAATTGTAATATTACATTCTTATGAATTTGCATTAGGATTATTGAAATTAAATTACTTAATATTTTCCCTTACAATATTGCAAAGTTTCACTTTTTGAACCTCATTTGAATAATCTGGATCATATTATTGAGATTAAAGTTCAGCATAATAGATTTTAATATAGAATAAACCAATATTTTACCTCAATTAAATCATAAATTTGAAACTATATTTAACAAAATTCAATGGAAACAAAAAAACTTGCACATTCAGTGAATAATCACGGTTTCTAATAAAAGCATTAATTCCTGGATGTATATTTTCTCTCTGAACAAAATCATATATATTTGGAGCGTCTCTTTCTATCTTTGTGTGTTGGTCAAGTACGAGCAAGAGATGCGTTTGTGTTCATAGGAGAGAAAAATTAAATCCCTCACTGACGACCATTTTTCCAGCATTTGTTCCCTGCCTCTAGGGCACTATTTCACGCAAACAATTTTCCCCCTTGTATGAGACGTGTTTCAACGTGTCTGTTTCTGTGGAGAATGAAAATATTTCGCTCGCCGAGTGGACAGGAAGGCTCTTCATTCACATGGAAAAGTATCAGTCAGGGTGGATTATAAGGGTTCGTGCCTGGCAGAAGAGCAGCTCCGACAAAAGCAGGCTTTTCTCGGAAACGGGATGGACGGACCAAGCACGTGGGTGCCACAAAAGGTACACGCATTTCGCATTTGATGAATATAAAAAAAAAATGATGATACTCCTTTTATTTGTGCCAAGAGGAAAAAAGAGAGAATTGAAGGAAAACTCATAGTCAGTTTTGAAACATTGGCAAATTCCTATGGAAAAGAGTAAAAATAATATAATAAAATTTTATAAACAATATTTTCTAGACTAGAATAAATGAAAATAAATAATTAATAAAAAAATCGGACAAATTAACAACAATAATTACAAGACATTTCATAGAAATAGTATTGTTTTTATTTATTGAAAATTATTGTTATTTGTTCATCACAAATCACGTCAATGGAAAAATTTATGGTTTTTGGTCCTTTTCAAAAACCAATCCAAATAAAATTTCTTTCTGGCAAAAAATACAAAACTTGATTTTTTCTTAATTAATATCAGCAACCCCAATTTAAATAAAATAAAAAATAACTATTATATTGGGTGGTGCCTTCTGCACCAGTATTGAAGGGCATAGACACGACTTTTTCTTGGCCTGACCCTAAAAAAATATAGAAAAATCAGTCTGTTGCGCGCCGCAAAATTGTTTTGACTGAACAAAATCAATAAAATAACTCTGCGAGCAATTTTTCCCTTACACAAGTACACAATCAATGTTTGGTCTCGCCCACGAAAAAATAAATACGAACACCTCGGGGGTAAAATATACGAGAGTGGGTCGCTATTTTCAGAAAAAGATTGGGCGTGGAGAATAGGGAGCGAAATTGAGACGCGGCTCACAACTCTCTGGCTTCGCACAACCTCACACCGACCGTGCAAATCCGCACAATTTTATTTTTAGTATATGTGTCCTTGTCAACGCAGCAAGACTCGTTGCGGAAAAAACTTTGATTCAAACAGAAAGCCAAAGGGAAAATAATAATAAAAAAAAAAAACTAACCGGCTTCTCACAAAATTTCGCAACCGCTTTTTAGATCGGAAACACCTGCGAAAATTTGCCAAGACACGCGCTGCACAGTTCGTTCGTACAACATCTGCAATTTGTAATTGTTCAAGTACAAGTAGGTACTCTTCACGTGCTACATACGTGCATGTGCACGCAATCAAGCGCTTTGTGCGCAAACGTGTGCGGCAGTTTTTTGCTTTGACATTCCTGGTCGGTCGAGTTTTTTGTTCCAATCGCGCAAAGACAGAAGAAAACGGTTTTAAAAATTATTTCCATTTCATCGCAAGAGATATAATAATTTTGTTTTTAATTCTGAATAATTCTATTTAGTTTTCTTTTAGTTTTAAGTTCGAGCGACTCACTAAGGAAGTAGTGCCGGATCCACTTCTTCTTGGGCGGAGGGATCCAGGCCTGCTCGTTCTCGATCAGAACGCCCATCATGGCCAAGGAACGAAAACAATTTTCTGGGCAAATCACAGACTCAAAAAAGCATGGCAATATCACAGCAACGACGATTTTCCGCGGCTACCACAGACTGACTAACAGCCCGGCGAGCAGCGTGTGCGCTAAAGAAGTGGCTCCGAGGGGCCCCAGACGCCCCTCTCCTCTTCCCCTCCCGCCCTCCCTCTCGGCCGACCAACTCGCGGTGCCCCAATTTTCATAAATCACTCGCGCTGCCCATTTGCTCATTTTCGAGGTTAATTGGATAAATGGGCGTGAAAACTTGTATTTAATCAGGTAGAGGTGAACGAACTCGATTTAAATAATTATGTACGCTTCACTGAAAAATTTTATAGATAATTACATTTACATTTTTAAGTGTTTATTCGTTTAATTAATGAGGTACAAAAGTAATTCTTTAGTAAATTTTAAATTCTATGAAGTTCAAATTTTGTTAAAATAATACAATGCATTTTCAAGATCAAAATTAATTTTCATGTCCTTGATTAGACTGATTTGCTCTCCAAATGAATTTTTTTTCTGGAACTGCAAAACAAAACAAATAACCTTGCATTTTTTTTTTAAATTTGCCCGTTTTACGAAGAGGTCATCGATGACCTGCAGCAATCTCCGACGCTGACGGGAACAATTGGGGTTTTTTCACTTTTTCATTTATTTACTTCATTTATTTTATTTTAGGACAAATTTATCTCGAGGAAATAATTTGAGCAGGTAAGTATTTTTTAGCAGCGGTAATGGTGCGTGACCTGAGTTGAACCAGGAGCGGGTCACATGCTTCCAGGGTCATTTGAACCCTAATGCCAATTTGTTGTCACGCGTGGTCAAAAGTTTAACAAACTTGGGGTCGTTGGAAGGGTTCAGAGTTCACTCGCCGCGAAAATTTCACTTCTGGAGAATCCACGGATACGAGTTGATGTTTCTTTAATGAGGGCGCCATTTTTCAAAGAGGTCAAAATACTTTGGTGCGGAACTCAAATTTCAAGCTACGAGACCATGGCTGCGTATACATTAATATACATCACTGGACAAGACAAAGAGCTGAATAATACGATTTCGGTGGTGTGACGTTTAAATATTTTTGTGTAATTTTATTTATTTAGGCATTCCTATTTGACTTGCAATAGATCAATGGAAAGTATTAAATAATCAGAGTGAGCCACGAGGACACATGTTTTAAATTTGAAATAGACTGTATCATTTCTGTTTATTCTTCACCAATTCTAAGATATTATTAATAATAATAAAATAGTAAAAACGTGAAATCATCTTTTTCTTACATAGGAAACTTAATTTAAATTTAATATGCATTTTATTTATCCATTATACTAACCGCATAACTAAAATAATATGAAATTTTGTATGATTACTTTAAGAAATCTTGCCAATTATAGGATTTTTATCAGCAAACTTAGGCCATTCCCAGGAAAAATTGACTTTGGGCATCAATTACTTTAAAGTTTATATCAATAGTGCAATTTCTGTAAGTGCAACTTAATTGAGATTAAAATACTTATAAATAAATTCGTTTACCACCAGCGTAAAATGGAGAGATAACTAAAAGTTCCAAGTGTTCCGATAATTTTAAAGATAGCAAAGATCTACGTTAAAAGAAAATCCAGTTGCAAACGTGTCAATCGTTTTGATAAAGACTTCTGACTCACATTAAAGTGCATGAATTGGTGACGAGAGATACAAATAACACACACGGGGTTTTTATCTCACACAAAGAACTCGCCACCATTCTTAAAAATATCGCAACATCTCCTCGATTGGCACACACAATCGCGATAAAATCTAGACACACGTGATCCAGACGCTATTATGCATTCAGGAAATAATTCGGCATCTCCAGAATAATTCAAATTTGCAAGTCATTCATGATGAGAAAATTGAAAGCAAGAGCACGTGCGGAGAATAATTTTGATAGCTTGCAAATCCGATTTTAAATGTCGTGCGTACATGTCGATCGACATGATGTCCAAAATCTGTAATCTCTTGATTTGACTGTTGGGACATACGAATGCCAGTTGATAACGTCGAGAGACCGGGCATTTATGTTTGAACAGGAGAGTTTCTCTTTCAGTCACGCGATTCAGATTTTATTTTGAATTTGCACTTTCAGAATTTTTGAAATCCACACGTGGCCAATCTGACTCTTCTTTATTTTATAAAACGAAAGCGATTTTCACTTTGCTGACGAGAAATATTCATTTGCCAAAAACAAATTGCGAGATATCATAAGTATGTGTGAAATACGACACTCGAGCTTTGATTTTCAGAAGGCGCACGTGAATCTTCCAGGGACGTAATCAGCCAAGGAGCTACCTATGATGTTAGATTTCAAAAAGTGCCACGTGAGATTTCAAGGTCATGATCAAACGGAATCTATAGCCAAGATTGAACTTGATTTACGCTCGTTAACAGTTCTCGTAACAAAGCGCATTCATTGAATAATGCAAAACGGATAAGCAAAAAATGATTTAATTATCACAGGTCAATACTCCGTTGAAGTGATTGATGCAATAATCAGCCAATTTTCAACCCACAGCTGAAAATATATAAAAAAAAAATGTCAAAAAGAGAATTATATTAAAAAAAGTTAATAATAATTAATTAGCAACTGATTGCTGTTGCTCATAAATCATCAAGTTAAGTGTAGATAAATCAGAATTTAAATAGTAAATGTAACAAAATTTAATAAATTTGTAGAATACAGTCAATTTGTTTTGATGCAAATGTTTGAAAATAGAAATTGTAAGATTTCTCAATTTTAGCTGAAATTTTTTCAT